TTTGGGTGTTGGGTAGGACATTTTGTTTGAATTTCGCTTTTTCTTCTCTTCTTCAAGCCCGCTGGAAACGTGGTGTGGAGTTAAACAAGTGGCAGTTGGGGTTTTTCTTGTGCTGCTGGAGTATCAGAGAGGAATAACCCCAGCGGTATTCCATGCTTTTTATATGTGCTTTGTATGTTAGTTTTCATACGAGGGTTAGACGATACCTGTCTTGGGAAGATGTATTCAGATCTACGAAAGATTTTGTCCTAAGTGCCAGTGTTGTGGATCTATCCTGATTGTAATGTCTTAAGGTATTGTCTCAGTTGCGAGAGTGCTTGATCCATTTGCCGGAGTTGACGTGGTCACCTGACTCCTTCTAGTTAGAGGCAGGGATCCGTTGAGCACAGAGGCCCCTCCGTAACATCATCATCATCATCATCATCATTGGCGCTAATTACGCCTCTCCGGTCTGCGCAACAAGCATAGGCTATGAATCTAGTTGAAACTGCAGGCTGCATGGCTGGTTGATCCTTAACCCTCCAGATTCCGTGCACCATCGACGTATGAAGCCTGCCAGTTGTACCCTGCTGTTCATATGGGCGCTGCCCCTCAAGACTAGTCGATTATGGTATACGGGGGCAAACCTAGTACAGGTTGCTATCTGTGTCGCAAACGGAAGATAAAGGTAGGACGACAGCCAGCAAATCCACCCGATGTCCACTCGTATTGGTGGTATAAGCTATTTGGTGGCTTCTCTATATTCACTACCTGGTTGGATGCGATTGTGGCTAAGCAGGTCCTAGTGTGACGAGGGACATCCTGGATGCCGCAACTGCGCTGTCTACGGAGAGTCATGCCCGGGGTACCGACCCGACACGATCTTCAAGATCGAGACGGGTCAAGTAAAAGGAAGTAGGAAAGGCAACCAGCCTTGTCCCGCCCATGGTGCTCGAGAGAGGGCTACTGATGATAACCCACGCATGTCTTCTCTGTCTATATATCGAAACCCTGGGTCGCCCTGGGAGGAACGGGCGGTATGCTTTTTCTTTGACCAATATACAGCTTGTGACAAGCCTGAAGGTGGCAGTCACCTGGGATTTATCCCGAGGTTATATGCGGGCTGTCAAGGGCCTGGCGCCGTGGAGCCAGCGTCTTCGTGTCTGCGTCTCGCGGTTGATGCTGCAGCCTTGCTCACCTTGGGTAATCAGGTCAAGGCGCCCTCGCTGGTCACACAAGCGAGACACCGGCTTGCTCTGGCGGTGCAGGGACTGCGTCGGGCGCTGGACTCGCCGGTCGAAAGGGTCAAGGACAATACCTTTGCAGCCGTCGTCATTCTCGCACTTTTCGAAGATATCTCAGGCGAGCGGAATGGGCTTGCGAGCTCCCACACTGTGGGCTTTGAAGCCCTCATGAAGCTGAGGGGCGAGAGTCTACTCAACGAACAGGGGCTAGATATGTTTACGTTTGCGTATGTTCACACGGTAGGTTTACAGACACCCGGTGCATCTACCCTTACAGCCGGTGACTTCGAGCCTTCAGGGGGCCATACTGACCACTGTACGATTTGCAGCGCATTGAGGTCTTACTTCTACGGCAGAAGCCACGATTCAGTACTCGTGATCTTGTCATGCGTCTTGATCCTGCCGATCCTCTACAACGGCTGATCATGGTGGTGAACGAGCTTGATCCAATGTCCCTCGAGAACCCCCTGACTTCCGACACCACCGATCCTGGAGTCATCACTACCCTTGCCTCCAGGATCGAAATCTACAGGGCTCTGGACTCCGAACTAGCAGAGTGGAGTCGAAGCCTGCCGACAAGCTGGCTCCCCCACGCTTGCCGGTCGCATACCGGCGAAGATGTCCTGACCTACCAAGGGCAGTTTTTGGCGTCGATTTGGTCCTACTATCATGCCCTTCGCATATTGCTACAGGTGACGATCCTGGAATTCCTCCAGACCTTGACCTCGATTGTGCGTTCGAGCGGCATCCAGCGAGAAGCAGTCCGACAGGAAGCCGAGGGATCACGGCTGATCCAAAGCTTAATCGGCGATACGTGCCGTGCGATCCCGTTCGCGTTCGGGGCGATCGATCAGCTGGGCAACCCGTTGGCTTCGCCGGGGGCTTCGCAGATTCGGGCTTTCAACGTCTACCATATGATCTGGCCGCTGTGGTATATCTTGACGTGCGGGCATGCGACACCAGCCCAGGCCCAGCAGATCCGGCGGGCGCTGGCGGAAAAGGGTTCCGAGGTCGGGATCAAGTTGGCCCTTGTGCTTGCTGATGAGGGTGGTCAGGGCGTGATGCCTTTGATGCTTGGTCCTTTTGCGCCGGGTAGTGAGCCGCGCCTTGCTCTGGAGTGTTTGTGAAGGGTAAGGCATTGATGGTCGCATTGTTGTCGGTCCTTCCAATCGGATCTACTAGGGTATGAAGGATGAAGTTTGCATACTTCTTCTGCGAGATAGGACGCTGGATGTACGAATAGCTTATAGTGTATAAACTCTTCTTAAAAACCAGGTGTATCAAGGATTATATCCAGTTATATGTTGAGCATACTACAAATTTCCAGACTGAGTAGATAGATACTGTATGTAGGAGTAAAGTATGTAGACGTGGGGATGTTCTAATTCCGGCAAGCCACGGATAACTTTGTTATCGCAACTGTACTGACTGACGTCATGAACATAGATTTGCAACCACGCAGGCATTTGATGAACAACGAAGAGCAGAAGAAGAACAGGCTATGAATGACTTTAATGCTCGTTCTGGCAATTCAGTTCGATGCCAATTCAGGGACTAATCATTATCGCTCGGCTGCTCGGATGGTTCCAGCGTGCAGGATAGGCCGTCACCATGCCGGTTTAGCCGATTTGGTTACAGCAGTCAGTCCCTGATTCGACTGACTTCATGGCTGCTGGCTGCTGGCTGCACTGACGACATGCTACTCTCCACACTCAGCTCCTATCTTTAGGAGCCGGTTCTGGCCCGAATGAACTTATAAGTCAGCTACTCCTCTCCCTTTGGCTGGAGGAATTGTGCTCTAAATCTGATACCCTTCTTCGATTGTTGCTGGATTCTCTTTCCCCTCCCCTCTCTGGAGTTGGTTTGGTGCTTTCTGTAGATAAAAGAACGTTGCACTCACTCGCTCACTCGCTCACTCGATCACCCATCCACCCACCTTGCTCATACCCCGCACACAACCATGTCAATGGCTACGCAAGAACGCAAACTCCCCTTTGGGAAGATTGAGCCCAATTCGGCCAAGTACTTCGCCAGCTGTACGCTGGGAGGCATTATCGGTAGGTCTTTCCTCTGTCCTCGGTTTGATCCTCGCAATCGAAGTTGATGGGAAGCTAACTTGTTCGCCTTCTCTATAGCCTGTGGTGAGTGATCCCAGCCCAATCCAACCGTATCCTCCAGGAGTACTCTGGACTAGAGCACGGCTTAACACAACAACCACTCCTACAGGCCCAACCCATACCGCAGTGACACCGCTCGACCTGGTCAAATGCCGCCGCCAGGTCGACCCGAAGATCTACACCTCCAACCTCTCGGCGTGGCGCTCGATCATGGCCAAGGAGGGCGTGCGCGGGGTCTTCTTCGGCTGGACGCCGACCTTCCTCGGCTACTCGATGCAGGGCGCCGGCAAGTACGGCTTCTACGAGTACTTCAAGCACCTGTACGGCGACCAGCTCTTCCCCAACACCAACCGCACCGTCGTCTACCTGGGCGCGAGCGCCTCGGCCGAGTTCTTCGCGGACATGATGCTGTGCCCGATGGAGGCGATCAAGGTGCGCATGCAGACCACCCTGCCGCCGTTCGCGCACAGCCTGCGCGAGGGCTGGGGCAAGATCACGGCCAAGGAGGGCGTGGCTGGCCTGTACAAGGGCCTGTACCCGCTGTGGGCGCGGCAGATCCCCTACACGATGACCAAGTTCGCCACCTTCGAGGAGACCGTCAGCATGCTCTACAAGACGATCGGCAAGCCCAAGGAGCAGTGCTCGGGCTTGCAGCAGACCGGGGTCAGTTTCCTGGGCGGGTACATCGCGGGCATCTTCTGTGCGATCGTCAGTCATCCCGCGGATGTGATGGTCAGTAAGCTGAATGCGGATCGGAAAGGTAAAGCTTCGCGTTGTTTCTCCCGGTCTTATATTGTGGCCCTCTTGTTGGGGCAGCGTTGTTGATTCTCGGGGCTAACGTTCTATCATTTCTATAGCTGGTGAGGGCGCGATGACGGCCGTGTCGCGCATCTACAGCAACATCGGATTCTCCGGCTTGTGGAATGGCTTGCCGGTCCGAATTGTCATGCTCGGTACTTTGACTGGATTCCAGTGGTTGATGTGAGTTATCTCCTTTGTTGTTTTTCTGATGAGCTAGCTCAATGGCTGACGCTGGATGCAGTTATGATTCATTCAAGGTGTTCTGTGGATTGCCGACGACCGGTGGGCATTAATGGAGTTGGTCGTGATGTATTTTGATGACTAGAGCTGGTTTGTTTGTTTGTATATTTCATCATAGTTAGGAGTTCGGTGGATAATGGAATCTTGTTAGATGAAGGAGAGGTTCTGCGATAGGGACGAACGTACAGTACAGTACTCCGTACAGTGAAAATAGTACTCCGTAGATAGTAGCTACTAATGAACGCTGACCGCTCTGGACTGTCGGCCGGCAGAATTACCGCGGCGATTCTCAACTTCCTCTTCCTTTCGCTTCGTCCTCAGCTCTCAACCTCGTCCATTGCCAGCTCTATTCCATCTCATTTTCCGTGGAATCTCTCGCTCGGATCGGATTTGTATGGTACAACAAAAATCATTGCTTATTACACCATCGACCTACCATTAACAGTATCACACGTTGACTGTTTCGTTCGCGCCATCAGGGCAGAGAGATCGAAGCCATTGGATTCGCATTGCCAGGAACACATACAGCGGCTTCCGGAGCCCCTTGACCAGACTTTTCCCAATCTTCGTGACGACTACCTCCGCCTGAAGCGACACTGTTCCCAGCAGCTCGATTCCCCAATTCTAGAATCACCCGAAATTTCGATTATCCGGTCTCCGCCTTCCACCGTCTTATATAGCCTACAAAAGCACCTCCGTCCAGATAACCACCCGCGACCAACCTCTCTCATCCACACCTCCCGAATCATCTCCTAGCCGCCGCTTCCCAGTCACTTCACCATGGAAGACACGACATCCACCACAATCCGCCCCTCAGCGGCCACCACCAACCCGCCCAGTGTGGAGAACGCCTACAAGCGCAAATGCCTTGCCTTGAAGAAGCGCCTCAACGAGATCGAGGAAGAGAACGAACAGATGCGCATCCGCAACCGGCGCGGCTGGCAGTACATCCAGAAGATGCGCCTGGAGTCGTGCATCTTGCTCGAACGCCTGGCCAAGGTCACCGGCATGACCGAGGAGGCGTCCTCGCAGGCCGGGGCCGCCGCGAACCCGGAACTGCGGGCTCGCGCCGTCGCGCTGATGAGCAACGCCTCGGCGTTGAATGGGCTGGCTGCCTCGTCGGAGGGGAAGAATGGGGCCGCTGGCGGCGGCGCGTATCTGGATGATGAGACGGAGGGGAGTTCAGATGAGCAGCCTCCTACTGTGAGTTTTATCCTTCTTTTTTTTTTCTTACTCGTTCCTAGAGCGGCGGCTTCATTTTAACGGGCTCCCGTGGAAAGGAGACGCAATGCTATGTCAGTGCGTCGACCGACAAAGACAATTGACACTGAAATCCCCTTGAATAGCCTCAAGAACGACCTCTCCGCGTGAAACGATCCCGAAAATCCAACCTCCCCGACGGCGTCGGCGCCGACGACGAAGGCAGCGCCGCCGCCGCCGGAACCGCCAGTAATGACGCTGCCGACAACGGCGACAACAACACCGATAATAACGGCAGTCTGCCCCGGCTGGCCCCGGCCCCGTCCCAGGACGATCTGAGCTCCACATTTCGGCTTGGGGCCGGCCAGCACCCAGAATCCGATGAGCGCGGCACGAGTCAGAATCCGGAATCCGGCTCGAGAACCCGTCGAGCCTCCAACGCTGCTGCTGCTGCCGCCGCCGCCGCGGATGACGACGACGACGATGACGACGCCGCAGCTGAGGGAGACGAGAATGAGAACGAGGCTGGTGATGCATCGGTGGAACCTTCGTCGACGCCGATGGATGTGGATGCCAAGGAACCGAAGGAGGAGAGCTAGGGACAAGCTGCGTAATGCTAGCAACTTGCCTTCCATCTTCTTCTTCAATTCAGATTCAGTCTTACAATTCTCCTTGTCTTTTCGGGTCTCGATTCCCTCCTTCGCCCCTTCGCCCCCTTTCCTCTAATTGTATAAACAAGGACTACGGAGCGGGCGAAAACCGGTCTGACACAAATCACAAAACAAGTCTCAAAAGACCATTCGCCATATGGCTTATATCTTGATCTCCTTCTGACTGGTGACCTGAAAATTGTTTTCTTTTGATCATTTGTGGGTGTTAATCATGCGCGAAACCTGTTATTTTGGAATTTGGGAACCTGGAGCTTTTGTATGATTTCCTTTTCCTGTGTCGGCTTCTTCACCTCTTACCTTATTCATCGACCTACTTACCTCTTTCTTCTTGCCTGGAGATTAATGCCTCTTTCTTCCACTCGGGAATGCATCCTTATTCCCTTTGGTGTCAGGGCGTGTGCCATAATTTCGAGTTGCGGGGCTGGAAAATTCAACGCGTGCACATGAAGTAACCGTCTTGTCTCGGATTGGATTCGGGCGTAGAGAGGAGATCACCATGGAAGAGTACTTTGTTCTGCGAATATACCATGAAGGTAGAAAGGGGAGTACGTTTGCACTCGGGCAAGCTGGCGGGCGTTGACTCCGCTTGGGGAATAACTTCCGATCCACTACACTACACGATACCTGATGCCCACCGGCCAGAGGCCTTCCGGCTGTTCTATATACCTACCGAACTAGGAAGGCACACATTACAGCTGAGCCTGGAGCTGAGTCTGAGCACAACATCACCTCCAACAGTGAACCCATCCAATCCCTACAAGAACAACAAACAACATACAGTACAGTCACCAACATAAAAAGAGACAACAAGGTCAACAATTCACTTTGTTCTCCGCAAGACACAACAACTAAAGCAAAGAACGCTGGTTAACGGCCCGGGCTATGCATAGAAAACATATTTCCGATATGATGCAAGAGCTTCGACTGACTCCCTCCCTTCGGCGAGAAGCTCGAACAGCTTCGAAGAAATCCAGATTACAACACATGTTCCCATTGCATCCCCCCCCCCCCCCCCCCCTCTTTTCTTCGAAACCCCTGTAGCGCCTGAAGCAAAACAAAAAAAAATAAACTCCGCCTGGAACGGGTAGAAATGCAGATCATGAAGTCCCTTGGGATTTCAATGAGATGAGAGCGAAGCAAGAAGAGTATTTCTCTTGGTTATCGAAACATTGAGGAATATAAATCTCCCCGACGAAAAAAAGAAATCCCTGTTCCTGACGCCGGAGGAAAATCCGAGAAAAAAAAAAAGAAAGACACGCTTTATTCCACGCCGGCGTAGAGGTCGACTAGAATATTAATGGCCGCGACAAGGATTTCGGCGGCGATGAGAACGATAACTGGAGAAAAGGATTGGGGTTAGGAAGGTGTACAACCAAAGAAACAAGAGAGGGAGACGTACCGATCCATTCGAGGTACTCACCATGGCGGTGAGTTAATTGATCCTTCAGGACGGCAAGCAGATCCGCAATGACGTCTAACCGCTCCGTCAAGAGACTCACTCGCTGGTCCATCTCGAGGTAACTCCGCACGGCCTGGTACACAGGCTCCAGTTGGGGCTCTGCCCACATCAGTTCCGGACTGTCGAGGACGGAGCCTTGAAGGTGGATGTTGATTCGCAGGATGAAGAGCTCTCCGACCTGCATGTTGATCTGGCGCCGGGTGAGATTCACGCTGCCGGTCTGGGCGATCTGGGCTGGGAGTGGCGCGGTGTTGGAGATGGTCTCGGAGACGAGATCTTCGAACAGGGACGTCTTGACGGACTGGGCGAGAGCATGGGAGATGGCGAGCTTGATCATGTAATTCCGCGGGTCACGGAGGGAGATGAAATCGTTGTAGATCCGGGCTTGGTATTCGCGCGCATAATAGAAGTTGAAGTTCTCGACCTGCGTGTCTTCGGGACTGAGAATGGAAGTAGCGAATTTGGAGATATCGGATAAAAATCGTGACTCGTGCGCGGGGGACATGCCCCAAATCACCACGGTGCCGTAGTCGAAGAGGAACACCTCCGGGGTGTGGACCTTGGTGTCAAAATCAGGAGCAGCTTCTAATTGGGATGCCGATGCGGTGGAATCGACCACGGCGCTTTCGTGGTCATCTTGTTGATGGTGCGACTCCGAATCCCTCAGGTCGATGAGATCTTCCCGTCGGGTGTTGGTGTTGTCTTGCACTTCCACAACACTGTCCGAGTACCGGCGTTCTCCAGCAGGACGTATTGGCGGTTGGGATTGCGGTGAATGTAGCCCGTTGCTCGAAAGATTCCATGTGCCTCGCTGCTTTGCTTCGTAGTCGTAGTCATACGGCGAGTATACGCACTCATCGTAGAGCTTCGGGTTGGCTCCGCGGGTCTTTGCGCGGGACTTGAGAAACCGCACCACCCCCTCCAGACGATACGAATTGGCCGTACAGTAGGCTGTAACGCGGGGCAATCGCTCTCGATCCGCCTTTCCCAGACTTGCAGCGTGACTGCGGGCGGTCGGTTCTTTGATGCGGGCGATCTGCGAGTAGACATCGGACGGAAAGTCGCCGTCGGCAAGTTCTTCTTCGGTCACGGGATCGGGCAGCAATTTAAGCTTCTGTGCGTTCTTCGTCGTTCGCTGCGGTCCGACCTTGGGGGCTGTCGCGAACGGGGCACCGGCGGTGCTGTAGGGTGCTCCATGGCTATTGCGGCGGCGGAGCTTGCTATTTAAGGCGGACAAGCCGGTCGGTCGGGGTGGGCCAGCGCTCTGAGAATTGGACGCAGGGTAAGAACCAGAATGAAGCGGTCTGAAGGTCGGGTCTGCGGCGGCAGTGTCGTGATATGTGCTGACAGTGGCCAATGGGTTGAATGTCACCGTCCGAGAGGCTCGGTTTCCTCGCGGTGACGTATTGGTGGAGGAAGGCGGCTGATGTTGGGGGAGGAGGGGGGAAGATTCTGTGATGGAAACCATGGTGGGTAATTAAGGGGGGGGTTCAGAATACTGCGCAGAGCAGATTCTGTTGAATTGAGCAACAATCGGGGGAGCAGGCACGTCACCGAGGATGGTGGGGAGGCCGTGGTGAAGGGAAAAGAAAGAAAAGAGAAAATGAAGTCTGAGGACGGGATGGGATGGCAGATCCAAGAGTACGGAGTAGCTCCAATTGCCTTTCCTTCCTCCTACTCCGCACGTGCGCCCGCCCACCGCTGCCATTTCTTCTCCATCGACACTTCATGTCGCCAACGCAATTCTGCCTATTCATTGAGTCAAAAGACTAGCAAGTGGAGGTCTGCAGTCAACAGTAATATGCTCGCGTCTTATCCAAAGCAATTATACTTTGCTTTGAAGCAGAAGAAAAAAAAAAAGAAAGCATACATTACGAGGTGGGGTTCGGGCAGCTTCATCGAGCTTGAGCTGCAGATCGGGACTGCGCATATCGTGGTTAGTTGAGCATTTCTCATGTGGTAGACTTCCGAGTCAGAGGGCTAGAAACCCTCCGTATACTCTGTCTTGCATGAAGATGCGAAAGCCTCGAACTCGAGATGGACTCTGCTAAGAAACATAAAGCGCCCGAAAGTCATCGCTGGAGACCCAAACTGAAGCCAGCATGTAGACAGGAAATAAATACAGGATATACTTTTGATTTCATTAAAAAATCCTACTACGAGACGGAGTTAAGCGCGCCAAAGACCTGCTATTTGCGCACAAACCCCGAGGAACCGCCAGCCGTTCTTCTCATCCCGTTGACCTTAGCCGTACTGCGAGCTGCACTCAGCCAGGCTTGTCTCGCGTTCTGACTGCTCTTCGAGGACTTGGGGGGGAGCGCAGTCTTCGACTTCTTCCGTGATACATCTCCATCCAACACACGGATCGTGACGTCGCCCATCTGCAGGTCCTTCGGGGCCTTCTCCTTCTTGTCCAGGAACCTCATCTTGGTGGGCTTGGGTCGCACAATCTCCATTTCTTCTGCGGGAGGGGTCGGGGGGCGAACGTCGGGCGCGGCATTCAGGATATCGTCCGGGAGCAGAGCGGGGAGCGCAGACCTCCGGGCACTTTCTGTCGTGGTACCCTGAAGGGTCTCGGTGCTTTCTGAGAGCTGATCCTCGGCTTCTCGTTTCTTGCTGGCCGACTTCGCCTGGAGCTTGCGTAGATCGTCGAGTTGTTTCCTCTTGTCTCGTTTCAATTGCTCCTCTCTGTGCCGTAGTTAGTAATGCGTTTCATGTGCAGTCGAGAACACGTGAAAGGAGATACGAACATTTGCTTAGCCCTCTCCTGTCTCTTCGCCTCCATCCGGATCTTGGACAGTTGCGCGGAGTTATCAACGGCCTCGGGAGCCTCATCGTCACTGCTATCTTCCTCCTCGTCCGCACCCAAGCCCTGCGGCGTCTCCGCAGCGTCCTCCTCCGCCATCCCGGGCACTTCTGGCTCTTCGCTATCGAACCGGAAATGTTTCTTCTTGACAGACGGGGGAGCAGCAGCAGCAGCAGCAGCAGCAACTGGCGTCTCCTCCTGGACCTCACTATCACTATCCTTCTCCTCCTCCTCCTCCTCCTCCACCGTCTTCGCCTTCTTGTTGCTAGCAGTAGTCGTTGTCGTCATTGTGGTGGTAGTCATCTCATCGTCCTCCGATTCCCGCACGTCCTCTAGACTGGTGCCCCGCTTTCGCCGTTTGCTGCTCTTCTGCATCTTGGAGGAGGAGGTGCTGGTGCTGGTGCTGGCGTCGGACTTGCGCTTCCCGTTGATCGTCGTTTTTACAATTCCATTGACTTCAGGCTCCGCGGACGACTCGGCGGTAAATTTCCGCCGTCTAGTGGCTGTGACCATTTTCTTCTTCTTCGGTGTAATAACGGCGGCGCTAGTAACGACGCTGTCCGAGGCGAGTTTTTGGGCAAGTGTGCTTTTTCCGTTGGAGGATTCCGTCGATCGATTGAATAGCCCCTTTGCTGCGGTCATAAACTGCGCAAACATTTAAAGGTAGGCGTCCAAGAAAGAAAAAAAATTAGTTTCCTGCCCCGGATCTTTCCCAGTTGTTTTGCATGGAGAAATGTTATTGCGCGTTGCGTTAAACCCTCTTTTCGGAGAGCAGTAAAGAAGGCACTGATCGAAAATTGTTGCGGCGATATGGTTTATCCGGGTGGTGAAAGGTGGATCGAGACTGGATGGTAGTTGTGGGTGGGTCCCGTCTTCTCGTGTACTGTACATGTACTCATACGAGCGAGTATATCAGCGAGTATTGCTTAAGCAAAGCAAGGTTATTTACAGCAGGAACCAACGCGTAGATCAAGTATTTCCTAGTTGTTTCATGCAAGTCAATTTTCATTTGAAGATGATATAAGTATTTACTTTTCGGGTATCCTGGACAACTGTAAATAGTGCAATGGATGAGCTGTGAAACTCGTAAGATATTTCCACTGAACATGCACACCATCGAAGAACGCCAACCCATGCTGTGTATAGTATAAGTAGAAGTAAGCATCAGAAACTCCTCCAAACTCCCTTTCCACCCAAAACCCAAGCAAGCCACCCCGCAATGAAGAACCACAAAGATAATGAAGCGGGCAAATCCCTCACCGAGCACCCACCATCTGCTTCCGCTCCATCAGCTCCTCCTTGGCGGCCAGAAAGTCATCCTCCCCGATCTCACTCGCCTCATCCCAGAACCTGCCGTGCTCATCGCCGTCATCCCCGCTGACCGTCCACATACTCTCCCGGAGCCGCTTGTTGCGCTCGCGGTCCTCCTCGATGCGCTGCTCGATCTGCCGCTTGTCCACCCTCCCGCGTGAGCCCCGCGGCGTCGCACCCTTGGCCCGCGCCGCCGCCACCGCCGCCCCCGTCGCCGCATCGGTGCTGCCGCCCCCGGCGCCTTCTTCATCTTCCTCCCCCTCCAGATCCAGGTGGGCCGGGTGCGTCTCGCGCTCCTTCAGGAAGGCGTCGATCTCCGCCACCGTCGCCGCCGAGAGGATCTCCTTGGTCTGCAGCCCGTTCAGGACCCGGCGGACGTGCTTGACGTTCGCGGCCCCGGAGCCGTCGGGCGGCGCGACGGCGTCGACGATCCGAATAATGTCGCGCTGGATCATGCGGACGTAGGGCGCGTGGTCTTCCCGCGTGGCCATCTCGCAGAAATGCTCGACGAAGTACATGATGTTGGCTCGGTTGTTCATGTTGTTCTAGATTATTGGCGAGTAGGTGAGTCGATGCGTCGAATAAAGAAACGATGCAAGGGGAAGGGGGGCTAACGTACGCGCTCTAATTGTTCGAGAATGCACGAGTGGAGATCCTCGTCCATGTCGCGGTACTTCAGCGCATAGTGCGCCGCTTTCTGGGATGATGTGACCGAGGCATTGAGGTGTTGCAGCTGCGCCGTGAAGCGCATCCGCACTTCGAAGGGATCGACCATCATGGTTGCGGATAGGTGAGGGGTCCAGATACCTCTGGCGGGGCGGTGCTTATAAAAGGTTGGTGATGGAAGAAAGGGAGTTGTTGCGCGGGTCGGCTCTTGAATCGAACATCGGAAATCAAGCTCGGCCGCCAGATTAGATAACGCGCGCGCGCGGTGAGCGGGGAACGGTGTCCTAGGAGCATCTGCCGCTTGCCGCCGCCCTCTTCGCTGCCCGCTTTTCCACCGCTCTTGGGTTCTACTGAACTATATATATCATCCGCGTTTGAGGTTCAATAGGTTGCTGACAAGTGACTGGAGGATCAATCTGGCTGTGAAGATACAGAAACTTTCGAATCACCCAAGTAATTAGTAATAACGGGAAACATGGTGCATTTGGGGTATAAAATTTTGAGACTTGGAGGTAAAGCATGTTCACTGGAGTTAGCGAATGCCTCTAAGGCAGCAGAGGCAAATGGACCACACCAATGATGGAAAAGTCTAAGATTATAGCAACATGTGTAGAGAAGTATTCAAAAGATAGATAGAAACGTAAGCCCAGCTCCCTCCATAAGGCGAAGTCACATATCATGGTAGATCATTGCGTCCGATGTTTTCCGACGTCATTTTACAGAGACATTTTACAGAGATTGCCGTCGCTCGATGGAGCTGGCAAGACTTGTGCCGTCATCATCACCAAGCAAGCCAACCTCCTCCGCGGCACTTGGCTGAGTGAAGGTTCGCTCGAGTAGGGTTTCGTCCTTGTGGGAGCCTGACCCGCTGACTATCGACCAAACATCCTTCTTGGTGAGCAGGCCCTGCAGGACACCCCTGTCGGCAAACAGAACGTACCGCAGACCAAGTCTTTGGAACATTCGTAGAACAATGAGAAAGGTGGTGTTGCTGTTGAGCGTAATCGGCGTTTGGTCCATCCAAGGCCTCAGGTCCAGGGTCTCGCTTGGGTCTGCGAATGGTTGGTGTGTAAAAAACACTTGCGCCGTGCTGGATAATTCATTATCGGAAGGGGACGCTGCGTACTTCAGCGCGTAGGAAAGCTCGTTACGGGAGATGTAGCCGAGAAGAACAGGATTCGACATATCTGTAACAACCGGATATCCACGGTAGGATGTAGTCAGGAGAAGGTTGCGGAGGGTGTCGATCGTATGCCCGACAGCAGTGATAACTGTCAGGTCATCGATGGCCGTCATTACTTTTTGAGCAGACACATCGGGTGGAGCGGTGTCATCGCGATGGTCGAGGAACGGGTATTCCTTGAGTTGAATCCACGACTCGTAGATACCACGCTTCCCGAAGATATCACCACACCATTTGGACAGCATGACTGCAATCATGATGGGAATGACATAGGTCAGAGCGCCTGTAAGTTCAAACATGATAACCACAATCGACACGGTCATTCTGGTGGCACCGCCGAGGGCTGAAGCTGCTCCGATGATAGCATATATCCCTGGAGTCACGCATTGCACATCCGGCTCGCAACTGCCAAACAGGAAGAACTTAGGGAAGGCTTGTTGCCACATCCGAAAGACGATGCCGAGAGCTCGTCCATAGAGGGCGCCAATGGCAATCGAGGGAAGGATTATACCAGCAGGGATGTCCAATCCAAAGGTAATTGATGCGAGGAAAAAGCCAAGGATGGCAGCTCCCAGCAGAAGAGCAACTGTACTAGCCGATACCGCACCGACCTGACAGAAGCCGAACGGATCTTCAGTCCCGGTGCTACATTCTGCAAATAGAGAATGCACGAGCTCCGAGTTCTGAGCTTTCATGAAAAGATTCGGAAAGTTGATCAATGAGCTCAAAAGAGCTACGGCTGACACCTCTAGAATCGGTCGAGGGACATTTAGTGAACGCCGCCAATTGGCTACCTTCATGTTCAGTCGGATGAAAAACGCTCCATATAGACCTCCGACGATACCAAGTATGACGAATGGGATAATTTCAAAGCGATGCCACCCATGCGTGTACTTGACTTGGTAGAGAACTATATTGCCGGTGCGGAACGGGTCGAGCGCATGCAAGGTCACAGAGGCAACCATGGCACATACAAAACTCTGCCACATAGTCTTGTCGGGAAAGTAATAGCTTAGTTGCTATCCAGTCAAAGTCAGCCCGGCTCATCACCAAGGACTTGGTAACCCACCTCCAAGCTAAACAAAACACCTCCGATGGGCGCTCCGAAGGCCACAGAAATTCCGGCTGCGGCGGCAGCAGAAAGGACCTCTCGTTTCCTCGCTGCACGATTAGCATATATTGATTGGTAGTCTCATGGTGTAAGTACCTTCGTTGTGATTGAGACTATGAAATGGCTTCATTATCAAACTCGCACAGCAGCAAGCGACATGGACAAGAGGTCCCTCTTTGCCAAGCCACATACCAGACGCGACAGCCAAGCACTGCTCCGAATCAGCCAAGATTCTAGGTTGAAGTTTTTGCATATACCTACCAAACCCAGAGATTTGATAGCAAGGGTCCAAGGCCCCATGAAATGTCTAATGACAAAACCACCAAGCACGGTCTTGATCTCGGGAATACCACTATGCTTCGCATATATGGCGTATGTCCTGACCAGGACACATGCGCAGACGGCAAAGAACACCTGTAGCTTGCATTAGCGTCTCACCGCAACGTCCAGCAACAGGGGTCAGTACAGAGTAAAGAATGTAGAAAACATATTCAACTGCATAGCCGCCACCGCGTGAAGTAACTCCTAGGGCCTTTCTCCAAGGCGTCCAATCCAAACAATTATTGATGTCTAGTCAGCAAGCCATGTTAGTATGGTTGATCCGAGCCTCTACCGAGTGGAATCGACTCACCATCATGTCCCCAGCAGCAGAAGCTCCGATTCAGATAGAACCTGCCTCCTCCTGCCCCGTTCCTACAGTAGCCAGTTTTGAGATCTGCTAGCCAGTCACTTGAAACATCGATGCAGGCGGCGATGATGCCGACCAGAATTCCCGTCGCAATCAATACAATCCAAACATTGCTTGCATCTAGTATTTTGCGCGCATATCCAACAAGTCCCTGTCCATTTGCATAAAGTAGTCGTTTTCTTTGTCGCTCTTTTGTGTATTCAAAAATCCAATCGATCGCCGTAAGGTCGTCATATCCTACCCGTCTACCTGGTCCCTCCACATACCAATCCAGAAAGCCCGAATCCTTGTGGTTTAAGTTTCCGTTGCTGCTGGATACGTCGCGCGACGATAGTGAGTGGCCGTTAGGGGGCTGCCTGTCGCGATGCGGAGAGCCGAAGCTGGTTTCTCCTGTTGCTTCTCCAGGAAAAAGGCGCGAAAGGCTAAACCTCGGTCGCTGTTTCTGTTTTCGTTTGAATGATATTCTACGTGTTGGTAAGGTTAGCTCACATGGACGGAGAGCACATTCTCTAGGACTTACGGTTCGCGTAAGCCTCCGCTTAAAGAAGCACGGGAGCTCTGTGGGTAGGTGTCGCTATTCGGCGGTTCGCTCGGAGGGCTTGGATCATCGCTATACGATTGCGAAGGAGATGCCTGAGCCTCTATACCTGACCCAGCATGTGGTAAAGACATTGCGATTCATAGAGTATAAAAGATTGTAGTTGCGATATCAGTTCGCATTGCAATGAGCCATGCCGTAACGTTCGCGATTTCCCCTGCGATATCCGTGCTCCGATTAGTTCCCGATAAGTGTTTCTATTGTCGGCCTTCTGATCTCACCTCCGTGGCTGGGGCGAGGGCGGTGAGGGCCGTCAGAGTGGGGCCAAGGCGGAAATCCCGCGGCAGAAAATGATCGCGAGAAAAAAAAAAAGTGCTGCAATCAGACGAAGTTTGTATCCTCTTCCTCTCTATTTGAATCCCATAACCAGAGTTCCTTTGGCGGTAGGGCTCAGCATGGACGCTAGACCTGCCTACGAGGGGACTCTTGACGAGTCCCGCTTATTTGCGAAGCTTCCGAATGAGATTGCGGAACTCATTCACACAGCTTCTGGGACCCAATACCTGAATGCGCTTGCGGTTGGCGCATTGAGGCCTGGATGCACAGAAGGTTTCTTTTGCCTGTACGAACCGATTTTTGTGGATTTGGCAGCACGGTGGCTCTTATCCGACTCTCAGCTAGATCAAATCGATATTCTTTCCGCATTTTCCAGAGTCTTACCGTTCGCGCCAAACCTCCGACCTTTTGCAAGCCAATATGCCATTGCTCGGGCTGGACCTCTATCGGCTTTGGCTGCGTGTGATGAGCTAACTCTTTCACAAATAAATGATGCCACCATCCGAAGCCTCTTGTTAGCGATCTTCAGGCTTCTTTCCTATGACCCAGAAGTCTTCTCAAAGGCTGTATCGCCCTCTCAGCTCCAATCGCTATTCCAACACCGCGACCGATCCGTTAGATACCTCTCCATACGATGCTTCGCCCTCTACATGCGTGCAGCGGATGCTGCCCTGGAGGAATTAATCAAAACTCATTTTGCGGACGATATCGTGGAGGGTGAATGGGAGGGAACCACAATCGACTACCGGTGTCTTGGCTTGTGGGAAGAACGTCGGTGGACCACACTGGAGAAGCAGGTTCAGCTCGCCAGGTCGAACCGATCTACTCCCGATGCTCTTCCGCAGATTGAGAAGCTCCGAGAATATTTCACTTCCAGAACTGCCGAAATCTGCGGAGTGTTGGTTCCACGACAAACTAATGCTTCTTCTCAACCGTCCTCGATTGTGAAAACGCCGACCGCCGTAGGAAACCTGCGGAAAATTGCGACAGCACTAATATCTGCTAGACCTATGTTGCTGGTTGGTTTGCCGAACTCGGGGAAAACAACATTGATCAACGATGTCGCCGCAACCATGGGACAGGCGGAGACGATGGTCACGCTACACTTGAATGAACAGACCGACGCAAAGAGTCTTTTGGGAATGTATTCGACCTCACCAGCTACAGGCTCTTTCGCCTGGCAACCTGGTGTTTTGACCAAGGCAGCGAGGGAGGGCCGTTGGATCCTGATCGAAGATTTAGATCGCGCGCCTTCCGAAGTCATTGGCCTTATTCTTCCGATCATCGAGCGGGGAGAGTTGACCATTGCTAGCAGGAAGGAACGAATCAAATGCGCAGAAGGCTTCAAGATAATTGCCACCATGAAGTCTTCTTACAACATCGCAGGCGAAGAAATTGCCCCCAGTACCAATATCCTAGGAAGCAGGTTGTGGCAACGCGTCCAGATTGATTCCCTCGCCATCGACGAAATTCGAGAGGTTATCACGCAAAAATATCCTCTCCTGGAATCTCGGGTCGCCACTATCATGGATGTCTATCAAAGGCTTTGTGCCTCCTTTCATGGAAGTCTGGCAATTAAGAGCTCCCAGGGACGAACTCCTGGTCTTCGTGATCTGATCAAGCTCTGTAGCCGAATGCACAGGCGGCTTCAGCGTCTGGGGGCGAAAACTGGCTATGAAGCGACGCCAGAGGGTGCCGAGGATGAGATATTCCTAGACGTCGTGGATGTGTTCTTGAAATATATCCCTGAAAAGACCCTGGCGGATTCCCTTTCCTTGGTTGTTGCTGAAGCTCTGCAAATTTCACCGCAGCGGGCACGCTTCTGCATGCACGAGAGAACGCCTACCTATTCTGACCAAGGCAACAGCCTCACGCTTGGAAGAGAAACATGTCGCAAGATTAAGGTCCCGGCCGGATCTCTCACGAAAGCCGCTGCCTCCTCGTCTCGCTTTGCGTCAACGAGAGCTGCTTTGGGATTGATGGAGCAAGTTGCCGCTTCTGTGCAAATGGCCGAGCCTGTCCTTCTCGTGGGTGAGACGGGTATTGGCAAAACCACAGTTATTCAACAGCTTGCTACGCTGATGCGACAGAAGCTCACGGTGGTTAACTTGTCCCAGCAGAGTGAAAGCACTGATTTGCTTGGCGGGTTCAAGCCAGTCAATATTCGCACAATGGCTGTACCGATGCATGATGAGTTTGTCTCTCTCTTCGAACTGACATTCTCAGCAAAGAAGAATCAAAAGTTCCTTCATTCCGTCGCCAAGAGTGTCACTGCAGGGAATTGGGCTCGCCTAGTACATCTTTGGCATGAAGCAGTCCGATTGGCCGATGGAGTGTTCAAGTCAGACCAGGGCTCTCAAGGTGCTGAGGAACAACCCGCGAAGAAGAGAAAGTTGGATTCGCCTAAATACCAACTTTTGCGGCAGAGATGGGACAGATTCGCAGCGCAGCTCAATGATTTCGAGTCGCAAGTATCTCAAGGAGATGCGAAATTTGCCTTTGCCTTCGTTCAAGGAAAGATTGTCCGAGCGCTGCGTAACGGCGAGTGGGTTCTTCTTGACGAGGTTAACCTTGCTTCACCGGATACTCTCGAGAACATCGCCAGTCTTCTCCACCATGGTAGCGAAGGTTCACCATCCGTCTTGCTCTCCGAAGCGGGTGATGTGGAGCGCGTCTTTGGTCACCCTGATTTCCGTATTTTTGGCGCAATGAATCCTGCGACTGATGCAGGCAAGAAGGACCTTCCCCCTGGTCTTCGATCAAGGTTCACGGAATTCTATGTGCAATCACCCGATAGCGACCTGGATGACCTGCTTTCTCTGATTCAGAAGTACCTCGGCGATTTGGCGTTGACTGATGCCAGAGCAGTCCCGGATCTTGGACAGCTCTACATGGAAGCTAAGAGGCTAAATACCGAGAACAAGCTCACTGACGGTGCTGGGCAGCGTCCACACTTCAGCATCAGAACCCTTGTCAGAGCGCTCGTCTACGTAGCCGATCATGCACATATCTACGGCCTGCGCAGAGCAATCTACGAGGGGTTCTCTATGAGTTTCCTGACAGTTCTCAGTCAAGAATCGGAGCGTTTGTTAGCACCTTTGCTCGAGAAGCATATCTTCAGCAACGTTAAGAACTCCAGAGCACTCCTGGGCCAGACACCCAAACCACCAAACGACGGAAATGACTATGTGCAATTCAAACATTACTGGATGCGTCGTGGCCATCTGAAACCCGAAGAACAACCTCACTATATCATCACACCTTTTATCGAGAAGAACCTGAAGAATCTGGTCCGAGCAAGCTCCACGCGCCGCTTCCCCGTTTTGCTGCAAGGTCCGACCTCTGCTGGTAAGACTAGTATGATTGAGTTCCTTGCTAAGGTCTCGGGGAACCAGTTCGTCCGCATCAACAATCACGAGCACACTGATCTTCAAGAGTATCTGGGAACTTACGTCTCCAGCGACGATGGCACCCTCCGCTACCAAGAAGGTGTTTTGGTAGAGGCTCTCAGAAACGGTTACTGGATTGTTCTCGACGAATTGAACCTGGCACCTTCCGATGTCCTCGAAGCATTGAATCGACTGTTGGATGATAATCGTGAGCTCTTCATCCCAGAGACGCAAGAAGTTGTGCGTCCGCATCCCAACTTCATGTTGTTTGCCACACAGAACCCCGCCGGTCTCTACGGTGGTCGAAAGGTGTTATCTCGCGCCTTCCGGAACAGATTTTTGGAGCTTCATTTCGACGACATTCCCGAAAGCGAACTGGAATATATCTTGAAGGAGCGCTCACAGATTGCTCCTTCGTTCTGTACTCGGATAGTGTCGGTTTACCGCAAACTCTCCTTATTGCGCCAGGCCAACCGACTATTCGAACAGAAAAACAGTTTTGCAACCCTGCGTGATCTTTTCAGATGGGCGCTTCGTCGTGCTGATGATCGCGAGCAATTGGCGATCAATGGTTTCATGCTGCTGGCAGAGCGAGTGCGCAATCCTCAGGAGAGGGCTGCAGTCAAGAGCGTGATCGAGGAAGTCATGAGAGTCCGAATTGACGAGGATGTCATCTATGGTGCCTCAGAAATGGACAAGCGCGCTCCCAATCTTGCACAGCTAGCTCCAGGAATTGTGTGGACCAAGGCAATGCGCCGACTGTTCGTTCTTGTCTCCACCGCCCTCGAGAATAACGAGCCTATTCTGCTTGTAGGTGAGACTGGATGTGGTAAGACTCAGCTGTGCCAAGCAGTTGCCGAGATTTGCAGAAAACAACTGTATATCATCAACGCACATGTGAACTTGGAAACGGGTGACCTTATTGGTGCTCAAAGACCCGTTAGGAACAGGGCGGCGATCGAAAGCCAGCTACATAGCGACTTACGAACTATGTTCTCGCGGGATGAGCAGTCAGTGTCTGTTGATGATTTGAAACAGGCTTTTGGTGCTCTCAGCGCAGAGCAACTACAAGAGCTTGATCCTGAGTTGAGACTTCGAGTTGAAAAGAATCTCGCTCGGCTTAACGCCTTGTTTGAATGGTCTGATGGAAGTTTGATCACGGCTATGAAGACGGGCCAGTTCTTCCTTCTTGATGAGATCTCACTTGCCGACGATTCCGTTTTGGAGAGGTTGAACAGTGTTCTGGAGCCTCATCGCTCTATTCTTCTTGCCGAAAAGGGTCCAATTGACTCCATGGTGGTTGCTCATGAGGGCTTCCAGTTTTTGTCTACTATGAATCCTGGAGGTGATTACGGAAAGCGCGAGCTTTCTGCCGCTCTTCGCAACCGTATGACGGAAATATGGGCTCCTCAGCTTTCTGAAGACGAGGACATTCTGCCGATCCTCCGAATGAAGCTTCAGCTAGAATCGGAGCACGTGCCTAAAGCGATGCTGCAGTTCGCCAAGTGGTTCAAGACGACATTCCAAAATTCCACGACATCCTCGCTTTCCATTCGTGACCTTCTTGGCTGGGTCGAGTTCGTCAACAGGTGTCAGAGCTCTGATCCCATGTTCGCGGTGGTGCAAGGTGCCGCAATGGTGTTTGTTGACACTTTGGGCGCTAATCCTGCAGCAATCCTTGCGACAGCTTTGAATGACCTTGAAGGCAATCGTCGGTTGTGTCTAGACAAGCTGCAAGAGCTTTTCGATGTTGATGCTTCCAACATTTACTTGCAGAAGTCAATTATCGACACTGATGGCACCTCCCTTCGTGTCGGGCCTTTCATTCTTCCCATCAATGAACAAGGAAGACCCGATCCCGAGTTCATCATGGATGCTCCTACTACTATCGGCAACTCAGTAAGAATTGCTCGAGGATTGCAGCTTCCAAAGCCTATCCTTCTGGAGGGCAGCCCGGGTGTTGGAAAGACGACGCTAGTCACTGCGCTTGCCAAGGCTCTCGGAAAGCCGCTCACTCGAATCAATCTTTCTGAGCAAACGGATCTGACGGACCTATTTGGGTCTGATGTGCCGGTGGAAGGAGGCGATGTTGGACAGTTCGCTTGGCGTGATGCACCATTCCTGCAAGCAATGCAACGTGGTGATTGGGTTCTTCTTGACGAGATGAACCTGGCTTCTCAATCTGTTCTTGAAGGGTTGAATGCCTGCTTGGACCACCGTCAGATGGTGTATGTCGCTGAACTTGATCAAACATTCAAGAGACACCCCGACTTTGTCCTTTTCGCTGCGCAGAACCCGCATCATCAGGGTGGTGGCCGGAAAGGTCTTCCGGCGTCCTTTGTCAACAGATTTACTGTGGTGTATGCCGATAGTTTTACCGACACTGATTTGAGGCGAATCTGTGCCAAGCTATTCCCTGGAAGTCCCGCCACCCAGACCGACAACCTCGTCGAGTTCATCTCCCTGCTTAACAAAGCCATTCAAGAGCGAAGGCTAGGCGCGCTGGGTGGTCCCTGGGAGGTTAACCTGCGAGACATCCAGAGGTGGCTTCAGTTGGCTGACCGAGGGAACCTGCAAGTGCCTGCCGTCCATTTCCTAGACATAATAATCTCTCAGCGGTTCAGAAGTGAGGAAGACCGCAGCGTGGTGTCTCGGTTGTTTGGGCAGGTCTTTGGAGATTCTCTCACGGCCCCGAAAAGCTATTACCATAACCTGACACCAGGCTACATGCAGGTTGGACTTGGCTTCATGCGGCGAGATTCAGTTTTACAACAGACCTCGGATCCCCAAATGCAGATTCTCCCAAGGGACTTGTCTGTCCTGGAATCACTAATGCTGTGTGTCGAACAATCCTGGCCGAGCATTTTGGTGGGTTCATCTGGTTGTGGCAAGACAACCCTCATCAGGAAACTCGCCGCGCTAAATGGAGCCAGCTTGGTTGAATTGGCACTGAGCGCTGATACAGACACCATGGATCTTGTCGGTGGGTTTGAACAAATTGATTACAAGAGGGAAGTCTCGTCCTTGCTCCTGGAGATCTCGCAGTATCTTCAGCGACAGATAATTTCCGCGTATGCCACGAGAGACACTGCGGACCTTTCGTCTATCCCTCTTCAGCTCTACGAGAGTCTACAGAGCCCGGATGTGTCGCTTGACGGTGTGGTTGCGTCGCTTGTGAAGCTGTATGAATCTTTCCGCCAACCTCTTCTTCAAGAATATGCCAACCGGGCTCAGCGCCTATCAGGCATCTCTGAGAAGACGGACAAAATGAAAGTCGGTTTTGAGTGGACAGAGGGTGTCTTAACACAAGCAGTTCAGAACGGACAGTGGGTTGTTCTTGACAATGCGAATCTTTGTAACCCGTCCGTCCTTGACAGATTGAACTCTTTGACGGAACCTAACGGAACTCTGATCCTGAACGAACAACGTACAGAGGATGGAAATGCTCGCATTATAAAGCCGCACCCTAACTTCAGGCTCTTTTTGACTATGGACCCTCGCCACGGCGAGCTGTCTCGGGCGATGCGGAATCGTTGTGTCGAGATCTCATTCTTGCCCCAGGAAGATTTGAGCTTCGCTATCTCCACTGTGCCTGCTTACACCTGCCAATCCTCACTGTACCGTCTTCGGTCCCTGTGGAATCTGAACGTTACCACGGCTCTCGAGGGCGATGAGTCGGTTTCTCTACTTCATGAAGCGTGCTTGGATCATCTCTCGATCGCGGACCTCTCATATCTTCAGCGCGTACAGGGGCTCCTCCCGTTCTATTCTTCTGTTAAAGTGGATGATCCACTTCTGGCAGCCCTGCAGCGATACCTCTCTGTCATACATGACAATTCGTCTTGCAGACCTTTCGAATGTATCAAACAGGACTTCGCAGTCGGTTTTGCCTCGGTCGCTACCCAGGGCGTTTATCAACCCCTTCATCCTCTGGTGAACGAACCTCTTGCATCGATAATGCATCAAAGTGTCCCTCTTGGCTGGCTCATGGTCCTGGCACAACTCCAGGAGTCTAAGCTCGGCTTGCAGGGCCTGAGGCAGGGCTTATTGCGGGCTAACGAATCAGGAAAGCATCTCAAGCCAAGCCAAATGACCAGCTTGGAACGCTCTCTCGCCTCTGGCCGTATCCCTTCCCTGATGAAAGATGCAACTCAGCCGGTGGGAGCCTTTTTATCCGACTGTGGCCAGGCTGTCTACGACTTCATCCAGAGCTTAGATCAAACCGTGTTTCAAGTTTCCGAAGTGATTCCTGCACTTCGTGCAATGGTCAATTTCTGCTCCGACATCTACAATTTGACTACCGCGACCGAGGTGGACCAAGGCGAGTTTCAGATTTACCTTCAGCTTGGAAGAGAGTTGTCTGCCTCGTTGCTTGATGGGTGGGACCCTTTGAAACCACTGGCTCTGGCGTTTTCCCAAGCTCTCGACCGCTTCCATGAGAACTGGGCCTTGACGACAGGCTTGAGCATGCAGAGACTCTGGGAGTCCTGGAGGCCAGCCACCTCTGCTACACAGGATCAATTGAAGGCTCTTCTGGAGTTGGAGAATATTGCCCTTGAATTTACCCAAGTTGCTACCAAGACACATCTTGATTTGTCTCAATTGAGCCAGGTCCGCAAGTCTTTGATTGCAGCTCAGGAAGCCATTCTTTCGAGCGGCCAGGAGGGATACCCAATCCAGGTAAGCACTTCTGTGATTATTCATTATGCTCTTCATTGCTAACATATATCAGGACCTACGACAAACAGTCGTTGACCTCGCAGCTTGCGTGCCAGATGCGGATGCATTGCAAAAGCCCTACTTCTCTACTGAATTCGAGGTGCTATGTCAATACCACGACCTTTCCTCACTACGTAACGGCCAGACAGTTGAAGACCAAGTCGTGCAATCAATCCTGCCGCTACTTGCTGGACGTCCCGCCAAGCCCCTTGATGCTTCAAGCTTGAAGACTCAAATCCCTGTCATCCTGAACAGGCTCTCTTTATACGCGGGAAGTGAACCCTCGTCGGCTTTCGGCGCTGCAGTCAGTGGAACATTGTCTCTGTCGCTGTTGGAAAGACTGGCCTACGTTGGAACCACAAGCCTGGGCCAGATGAATGCTTTGGAGATGGAGAAGAAAACACTTTCCAAGGCTTTGACCCTTACGAGTGGCGAGCTTGCCATTAATCAGGTCACGTTTCTTCGACAAGCAATGGCAAGATTGACTACGGAGCTTGTCATCCTTCACAAAGATTTCTTCGAGCCGCAATCTCTGGAGCAGATTGTTTCTTTCCTCCAAGGTGTTGAATCTCAAGGATCACACAGGGGCTTCTCGCTGCCGAGCCTTAACTTAGCCTCAAACCTGCCAGACAACCACTTCTTCAAGAGCTTCGCTCAAAGCCATCTTCCGCGCCTATTGTCGTCCTTGATGACGGAACAGATGGATAGCACAGGCGCCGGCATTGTTCAGTTGGCTGTCATTCTCTTGCAGCTTTTTGTTCCAGATAAGCCATTTGATCCCTCGTTGGGCCTGGTTGTTCAGAGGAAGAGGCATTCCCAGCGCTCGATAGAGCTAACGGCAAGAGGCAAAGCCATCTCGTCATTTGAGGTTGGCTTTTCTGGCCAATCGTCCAATTTGCGGCAGGAAATTATACAGGGAGAACTGCGTAACCTCGGTTCGGCACCCCCGCCTTCTTCTGTCACCAGACCGCAGACCTCCGAACTCAACATCCTTCATGGTGAGTTCTCAAGTCTTGTGAGATCAGTCCTTGAGCGCCACCCGGAGAACATCAACTTTGCGGGAGACGATAGCGATGCGGAGTCACAGCGAATGGTTGATCTTCTTCGTGAAAACATTCGCCAGCTCAGTAGACGCCTTACGATGAACTACCGCTCCTACGACGATATAACGACTCTAATCGTTCGGTTCCTACAACTTCTTGACTTGGGTCTGTTCCTTTCCTCGAGCAGGTCTCGCCAGTCCAGTGATGTGCAAATCATCAAAGCCATTAGGGAGACTACTCCGTTCCTTGGTGGCCTCGTACACCCCATTTCTGGTAGCATTCACAAGGAGTCTCACTTCGAATCTAGTCTGAACACTGATCTGTGGTTCCACGAACTATCAGCGCTCAGAGTGGCTGAGAACGCGGACAAGGGGCTGATCTCCACTCGGAGCGGACGCGACGCTCTTCGTCGTTTGTTCGAGCAGTTCCATGCTCTCTGGAAAGTCAAGTTGCGAGAGGACCAAGAGGAAGAAGCTCGTAAGAACGAACTGTATCATTACAAGGGATCTTGGGAGGATGCAGAGGAAGTCGACGAGAACGAGTTGCGTCAACTTTTCCCAACGTACGACGAGAATGCAGATGAAGAAGAAAAGGTGTCAAGCCGTGTCGACCCCAAAGCAATTTCCGTCCGACTTGCGTCTTTGCACGCTAAGCTCTTCAACTCCGAAAACCAAGCGGAAGTCTTGTCGGCCTATGTCAAGCAATCATCCCTGTTGCTGGGCTCCTTAAGGTCGGACAACGGCTCATTGACCGTTGATGGCCAACCTAAGGAGCAACTTTCCGGCGTTCTTCTGCTGCTTGAAGATGCTCTGAAATCAGGCGAAGTCACCTCAGGGAAGAATTACAACTTTTACGTGGATTCGAATATGGTCGAAGCTAAGAAGCTTGTTGACCTGACCCTGTCGACGAAAGCTCGGTTTGCTCAAATCCACAAATCCTGGCCCGACCACGCAGTTCTCGCAGACGTTATTCAATGCTGCAGAGAAATTCTCCAGTTTAAGCATACTGAACCTGTTGCTAAATTCCTTACTAAGGTTGAAAAGCTTCACGGCCTTGTATATGAATGGCAGTTGGTGGCCAGCAGAGAATACTCGGCAGCTTCCCTGTATGACGAGATCACAGGCACTATCATTGGCTGGCGGCGACTTGAATTGACTACCTGGGCGAAACTCTTGGATTTGGAAGACGACAAATGCCTCAAAGATGTCAGCTCATGGTGGTTCATCACTTATGAAGCCTTGGTCCGGGCTCCGATCCAGATCGTTGAATCCGGTGAAATGGAACTGAATGACCACATTCAAGAGGTTACTGCGACTCTGGAACAGTTCTTCCGCTCCACCACTGTTGGACAGTACAGCGAGCGTCTCCGACTGATCAAGAACTTCCAGTCATTGTTGCTACTCTATGTGGAAGATCTTCCGTCATTGAGTCAACTCACGTCTGCTCTTGACAATTTCCTCCAGCGCTATAGACAGTTTGAACCCCCTGTGCTTAAATTGTTGGCTGAAAAAAGGCAGGCTCTTGAGAAGAATATTAAGGAGCAAATTCAGCTCGCTAGCTGGAAGGATACCAACATTGTCGCCCTTCGGGAAAGTTCTAGACGGTCACACGTCAAACTGTTCAAGTTGGTCCGCAAGTATAGAGAGGCTTTGGCCCAGCCGGCTCAGCCCATCCTGGAGCAAGACATGCCAGAGGACAACCAGGATACGGCTGCTCCTCAACGAATGGTTCTTCCTTCCTTCGTCTTCCCTGAAGCGCTGGCGATGTGCCAGACCGAGGAGAAAGCCTGGATCGATAGACCACCTCGATTCAAGAACCCTGACAACACTGCTAGCAGCATGATGCAGGTGTATGGTTCGATCTCGAAAGAATTCGATGTGGCTGAAGACCTCGAAAGCTTTGTCAAATATGTCGTTGAGAGTATCAAGGAGTTCAAGTCACAGACTCCGAAGACCTTGACGGAAGAGAACAAGGATGATGTCCAGCATCTCAAGGTTCAGAAGCGTCGGTTCTATGCTGACACGTTACATCGGATCTACGAGATGGGTGTGAAACGTAATGTCAACACCAGTCTGCTGGAGGCACAGGCATCTGTTCCACAAGTCCTTGCGACCGTCCCGGCGTTCGAAGCTGGCATCGCCGACGTAAATTTGATCAAGAAGGCAGACTCATATTTCCACCGTTTCCTGGACCTGCTGCCTCGTGCCCGCTTAGCGGCGCGCGACTACTCTGAGGATCTTAGCAACGTCGAAATCTCCAGAAGCTCGGGATCTGTGGAGCACCTCCTGCACCTCGTCCGTAAGCAGAGGACTTCGATCTCTCCCGCACTTTCTAATTTGAAATCGCTTGATTCACTGCTTTCGAAGGTCGCCAACCTTTGGACCGCTGATCCCCTCTCTATCTTCAAGGCCCATTCAAGTTTCTCGAATGGAAGAGATGATATTACAAGGGCAGTAGCATGGCTGGCTCCTATCATCGGCCTGGCGATCACTGTCGTGGGAGTTCATGCCAAGTTCTCCGGCCTCAACTCTACAGGCGTGATTGAGAGCCTGCAGGCTTGGAAGGACACGTTTGACCGCCTCAAGATCACACTGAGCCATCTCCCTGAGCTGCCTGAGGGAATGGCTTCACGTGTGCACAAGACCACCGTGGAAGAAGCTTGCACGGCTTTCACCAGGCTGGACTTCGACCTCGCCACGTGGACCGAGGAGCGCCCTGACCTGTCCTTTGTTCTGGGCCAGATCATCCCATGGTCGAAGGTCAATACTGTCGCATATGAGTCTGAGAGCCATGATCTTGGCGTTTCTATCGAGGAATACGACTCGAGTCTCATTGCTGCCGCAGACAAGATCCTTGTCAGTATCCAGAAGCTGAACGAAGCTCCGTCGCAAATCACCGCCCCTGGTGCGCTGTCCCGGAGCGACGACTTCTTCGTCCGAGCCCTCAGGCTTCTTCGCATGGCGGACATCTCGACTTCCCTCGAGTCTGTCCTTGACAAGCTGCAGCACCTGCAGACTCGCTCGCCTTCCAGCCTTCCGTTTGCCATTGCCTTGACGGCGACCCTGTTGCCGATTTTGAATAAGTTCGCGCATATCTGTCGAGACGTGGTCGATCGCTACCTGACGGTGCACAAAGAGACATGTAAGATGTCCTATATCCTCGCCAAATCGTTCACGCAGATCGCGTCAGAAGGCTTCTGTAGTCCGTCCGAGCCGTCGACGGAGGAGAGCAAGTCTGGCCAGTTGGAGAGTGGCACCGGTCTTGGGGAGGGTGAGGGAGCCGAAGACATCAGCAAGGATGTAGCCGACGATGAGGATTTGACGGAACTCGCCCAGGAGGACAAGCAGAAGACCGATGAAGAGATCGAGAACTCCGAAGATGCGGTCAACATGGATCAGGAGGAGATGCAAGGCGAAGAAGGCGAGAGGAAGGAGGGAGACGATGAAGACGACAATGAAAGCGGCTCAGACGAAGAGGATGATATCGATGAAGAGGTGGGCGATGTTGATGATCTCGATGCCTCGGCTGTCGACGAGAAGATGTGGGATGGCGAGCACGATGATCAACAGAAGGAGACTGAGACTCAAGAGGGCAAGGGAGCGGCGGAGAACGACGAGCAGACGGCCGCGCCGGACCAGCAACCTGGTCAGGAAGCTGAGAAGGGTGAGAACAAGGAGGGTGAAGAGGAGGAAGAGGAAGAAGATGACGAAGAGGGTGAAGAGGCTCCTGATGAGGAGGGTGAGGCTGTTGGGCGTGAAGACATGGATGTCACTGATCCACATGCCAAGGAAGAAGAGGCGCTCGATCTTCCAGAGGAGATGCAATTGGATGGCGATGAGAAGGGTAACGAAGAGCCCGAGGAAGACGACGGCTTTGATGATGATATGATGGATAATGACCTTCCTCCTGCGGAAGAAGAGCAGCAAATGGAGGGAGACGGCGTTGAAGACGAGACCATGGAACAGGATGGGGAGGAGCAGGAGATTGATCAGACTGAGGAAGCTGGTCCCGATGACGAGCTGGGCGACGCGGACGAGGCTGAAGGTAATGATGAGGCGAATGAGGCCGGCGAAGAGGCAGAGGAAGAAGAGAAGCAGGAAGATGACTTCCTTGCCCAACGCGATGAGAACGAGGCTGCTGGCGAGGAAGTCGCTCCTAGCGAAGCTGTCAACGGTGGCCTTGGAGCCGAACAAGATCAGAACCAGGAGAAAGGCTCGTCCGGTAACGCGCAGCAAGAGAGTGGCTCCACTGATCCCTCTGACGAGAAGGAGCAGAAGACCGGTGCTGCTCAGGAAGGAGACGAGAACCAAAGACATAAGGATGAAGGCGGCGCCAACGATTCCAACCCTGAGGATCCTCAACTCCAAGCGTTCAAGAAACTGGGCGATGTCCTCGAGCAATGGCATCGTCGACAGAAGGAGATCATGGATGCTTCCAAGCAGGAAGACGAGGAGGCCGAAACTCGATTGCCTGAGGATACTGATATGGCGGATGCCGACTTCGAACATCTGGCGGATCAAGACGATGTTGCCGACACTCAAGCGCTTGGTCAAGCCAACGAAGAACAGGCCAAGGCTCTAGACCAGAACAAGGGCGTCGAATCGGATGTCAAGCCGGACGAGGACAATGAACTCCTGCCAGACATCACCGACGACAATATCCAGGACCTCCCCGAGAACCGACTTGAAGACGAGATGCAGCTAGACCAGGGAGGCGCCCCCGCTGAGTCGCAGACGGCCGGTGCTTTCATCCCTGGTAACCTTCAGAGCCAGGAGCGGGCAGATGCCGCTGCAGGCCAGGAGGCAGCCGATGAGGAATTGGATGAGGTCGACGCACATCTGGCTGCAATTCATCTATCCTCGACCCTGCCCCCGCTCACGCCACGGGACGAAGCTCAACGACTCTGGTCGTACTACGAGTCCGCGACCACCGATCTCTCCTTGTCGCTGACGGAGCAGCTGCGGCTTATCCTTGCCCCCACGCTTGCGACCAAACTCCGCGGTGACTTCCGCACCGGCAAGCGGCTCAACATCAAGCGAATTATCCCGTACATCGCCTCGCAGTACAAGCGGGACAAGATCTGGATGCGACGGTCGATTCCCTCGAAGCGCAACTACCAGATCATGCTGGCGGTCGACGACAGTAAGTCCATGCTGGAGAGCGGCAGTGGGCAGCTGGCCTTCGAGACCCTGGCTCTCGTGGCGAAGAGTCTGAGCATGCTCGAGGCCGGCGACCTCTGCGTGCTCGGCTTCGGAAGTGAGGACCACGTGCGGGTGGCGCACGAGTTCGGCAAGCCGTTCTCCTCGGAGGCCGGCACGCAGGTCTTCCAGCACTTCAGCTACCAGCAGACGGGCACCAACGTGCGCAAGCTGATCGCCGACTCGATCGCGCTGTTCCGCGAGGCGCGCTGGAAGCAGTCCCCCGGCGGCGGCAACGCCGACCTGTGGCAGCTCGAGCTAATCATCTCCGACGGCATCTGCGAGGACCACGAGACCATCAGCCGCCTGGTGCGCCAGGCGCAGGAGGAGCGCATCATGATCGTCTTCATCATCGTGGACGCGGTCAAGGGCAGCTCCATCCTCGACCTCACGCAGGCCAGCTTCGAGCCGGACCTGGAGAGCGGCAGCGGCGAGATGAAGCTGAAGATGAAGCGCTACCTCGAGGGATTCCCCTTCCCCTATTATCTAGTTGTGCGTGATGTGCGGGAGCTCCCCGCAGTTCTGGCGACGGCGCTGAAGCAGTGGTTCGCCGAGGTGGTGGATGTTTCTTCTTAGTGCTACTACGGGGGCTGGTGTCATGTTTAGGAGTAGATACAAAAGTTTTAGGTTAGCATTTCCTGTATATACTTGTTGCATATAGCTTCGCAAATAGATTTCATGCATGATAGCTGCTCCGAAACGTAGACTTCAGCATATAGTACGATTATCATTTATCTCATGAACCAAGATGACACACTCCAACATGCAGCAACATAGCTGCGCAGTTTCGCCCAACTTCGCTACCAGACACTCTTAGGTGCAGATTCTCCCGGACAGACTTAAGTCTGCCATATTTCATTCGGATTTAGAAGGGCAGTTCCCCATATCCCTCGGAGAAAACCAATCAAGTGGTAACTACACACACAGCCAGGACTTCGGCATCAGACGTCACCTCCAACCTTCCCACTTCCCCCTTAGCCTTGAGCCTTTAGCCCAAGACTCGCCCCCAATCACCACCCAACCCAGCCAACAAAGAGAGACAACCATCTACCACCCATACTTGGACCCGGCCTCCTTCTTGTTCCTCCGCCCCGTCGCGAAACTCTCCTCCAGCGCCTCCCGCTGCGTGCTCGCCGCACTGACCAACTGCTGCAGCGTGTGCTTGCCCGGCGCGATCGCGCGGACGGGGTTATGCTGCGCGGCCGCGAGGTCCTCGTGGGCCATCTGCTGGTTGGCGGCGTACTCCTGGTCGGTGTTGAAGTGGAGGACGCGCGGGGCGGCCGCGGTTGCGGTGGTGCCGGAGGGGTCGGCGGACCGACGGCCGAAGAGCTGGCGCCGTTGGGCGCGGGTGAGGTTGAGGTCGTCGGCGATGGCGCTGAGGGGATTGTTGGTGGTGTTGCCGGTGGGTGCTGGGTAGGAGGGGTGTGGGAGGTCGGGTTCGGGGCCGGCGGCGGGCGCCGCTGCTTCGTGAGCGCTGGTGTAGACTAGGGGTTCGTACGCTGCTGGCGCTGGTGTTGGTGCTGTCGGTGCGGTGCCGGTGGCGATGGCGGTGGCGGTCTCCTCGGTTGACGAGGAGAGTGAGAACAGACTGATCTTGGGTTTGGCTGGTGCTGGCGCCGTCGCCGTCGTAGCAGCAGTGCCAGCACCAGCACCAGTACCAGCAGTCGTACCAGCAGACGAACCACCTTCAACATCCTTCTTCAACGCCCCCGACACACCACCACTCCCGGAAACAACAGCAATCGGCCCACCAGCGGCCTTCCGCTTCCCTTTCCCCTGCGTGCCCCGCCCCACCGACAAAGGCTTGAACATCATCGGATTCCCCGTCAATTTGACCTCCTGCGGCGGTGGGTTTGTGATTGTATTTGTATTCGTCTTCGTTTTCAGATCCTCCTCCCCTTGCCCGAAGTGCTCCCCATCCAACTCATCCCGCCAACTCCCCGCCTTGGGAATCGTCTCATCCCCATCCCCATCCCCATTCCCGCCTAACCGCCCAAACGCCATCTCACTCCGCATCTCCGCGTCCGCTTGCCGATCGAACCCCGGCGTCGCCCCCGTCTTCAGACTGAATACCTTCCGGCTGGATCCGGTCGCGGAGGGTTTGGGAGTGGCGGTGGGTTTCTTGGGCGCAGGGAGGAGCGCATTGAATCCCGCGAATGCGCCGCCGCCGCCACTCCCACCGGTTCGGGGCTTCTTGCGCGCGGGTCCGTCGGTGTCTTCGGAGTTGTTGCGGGTGCTGGGGTCGGGTTTGAGGTCGGAGAGGGCGACGCGGATTTTTCGGGGGTTGGTGCGGTCGATTTGGAAGGGTTTTGTTGTTGATGAGGGGGCTGGTGCGGTGGTTGTGGTTGTGGTTGTGGTTGTGGTTGTGGACTTCTTGAGGATGGTGGTGGTGGTGGTTTCGGGTTCGGAGTCGGAGGCTTCCGAGTCGGAGTAGGCGACTAGGGCCATTGTGATGTGTGGATGTGTGGATGCGAGCTGTGTGGTGGGGGGTGAGGAGGAGGTGGTGGTGATGGTTGCTGCTTCAAGGGAACAAATATTCGGAGATGCGCGCGCGATTGCGGGCTGGGCTGGGCTGCTGCAGGCGCGGCGATGAAAGGTTGTCTTGGCGGCCTGATGGTTTAGGCTGCTATTTTGGGCGGTGTGGCTCGCTACTAAGTTACTCCGTACCTCCCTTTGATAGGTTGGTGGTTCCAACTGGAAAGTCTGGTGCAGCCCAGGCCTTGCGCGTATGCAGATAAGGCACTGTACTTCCGGTGGTGTTTTTTTATCGCTTGGGACTCTATCTAATACTAGCTAAGGTAAAGATTCTAGTCGACTAGACTCGTGTCAATTGTTCTGGTCAAGTGTGGTCTTATCTGTTGCATAGAAGGGAGTTCTCTGTGACATCATGCTGCTCTTTCACATGATCGCCAGATAAGATAACAGCCATATTGTAGCCCTAAGTCTATACAGCATTACTACCGTCCGGGTCAACACGCTCAACTTCCTGCTTGAGTTTTGTCACTCAACAAGAATCACTTGGCTGTTTAGGACGATTAAAGATAAGTGAGCCACGAAGCTGTTATGGAGAACATTGAAAATCGGCATATCCATGAGCGTGCTCATACCATACTAGTAAGTTATATCGACAAGGCTTGAGCCATGTCTGACTGAAGCCAACCGCTACGACCTTCGTGCAAACACGGCACGCCTAGCCAGCCAGCAACTGACCGTCACCCCCGAGACGGACTGATCCTCGTTGCGAGTGAAACAGAGACTCCAGTCCCCCGGTGCAGGGGCATCCATTCCCCGCGGACAGGCTAAAGCCCACACGGGTCCGTTCTTGCACTCGCCCAAGTAGCGCATAAAATGCACCGGGCCACGCCCGAGAAACCCATCGAAGTATCCGTACAGCTGCCCGCCACTCTCGGCGCAGTGGAAAGTCGAATCCAATTCGCTGCAGGCATAAGTCCCAGCAAAAGCCTTCCCGTCTGCCTGTGTAGGAGAGCGGACAAGCCGGTGGGCAGTGATGTGCCTATTTGCCTGCGGCCAGTCGAGACGGAGACGGCCCTCCTCCAGCGTTGCCAAGGTGGTGCGAGATTCAGCCCGATCTGGTCGCACGGGGACCAAAGTGTCCGGTTCGCCCGCGTAGGTGACGACAATATCCCCAGGATCAGGGCGATGTTTCACCTCAATGGCCAGGCAAGCCTCTTCGTCCCAGTAGGATCCCGGCCAAGTTTGCGCGCTGAGCGTCACACTATGGGATACTGAGCGTAGCACTTCGTCTTTCTTCAGCAGCCTCGCCAAAATATCCTGCGCTGCCATCTCCGCGTTCGCCTCATGATTGAACATTACTATCACAGACAGCTTCCGCGAGGGAACATGACGCCTGTGTAGGCGGTAGCCGCGCAGAGCACCCCCGTGGCCGACCGTCGGCACGCCCGCCACCACCACGTGCTGGAGGCCGTAGCCGTAGGGGGCCGGGGTCCCGTCCGCGAACGTCGGAGGGAGGGCCATTTCCCGGTAGATGCTCGTCTCGTCCGCCTGGCTGCGATGGAGGAACTTCTCGTAGGCGATCATGTCCGCCAGCGAAGCCACAACGCCCGCATCCCCGGACCAATGGATCCGATTGACAGCGGCGATGTAGCCGCGCGCCGCGTCCCCTTCGTATCCCACGCAATCTCCGGGCAACGAGGCATGGTCCGGATGTAAGCACGCGGACGCCATCGCCGCCGGGGTGAACACCTGCTCGCGGAGCCACTCGCCCAACGGCTTGTTTCCGGAGGGGGAGCAGCCGCTACTGCAGCGCTCGATGACCCGCGCCAGGATGTGGAAATTGGTGTTGGCGTAGGAGTATTGGGTCCCTGGGGGGAAATGAGGGGCCCCCGAGCGCTCGAGCATCTTTTCGCCGGCTTCGGGCAATGAGAAGACGCCGTCCGGTCGAGCGCCCCAGAGTGTGGTCAGGGCCCAGTAGTCTCGCAGCCCGGATTGGTTGTCGCAGAGTTGACGGAGGCTCGGTCTGGAGGCTCCTGCGAAGGAGTCGAGGTTATCGGGGCATACCTCGCGAAAATGGGCTTCTAGGTGCGACTGGACTTGATCATCGTCGCCACCGAGCTGGGACTGGAGCTGTCTTTCGAGTGCCTTAAGGCACATGCACACCATCTGTTTGGTGATCGAGCAGATAGGCATCATCGTTTCCGGGGTCATCGGAATGCGCTGGTCGATATCAGCATACCCCCATACATGTTGACCAAGCACGTTTCCGTCTTCAAGGATGGCCACTGCACCACCCGGACCATGGTGAGAAGCCGGGAGCTGCTTGAGCACATTGGGTACAGCTTCGGTGATGGAAGACATAATTGTTCGATTGATGTTGCGTGAGAGGATCGAATGGGCTGTTTACCCCGCTTTCATGGGATGATGTTTGAAGATGGATACCTGATAACCGGGTCCGCGCTAGCTGATAAGCACTGGGTCCATTGCTGTCCATTATTCCGTACTGACCCGGGGTCACATGTTGGCAAGGGTAAATCATCGATGATTGGCATCATGAAATATCACTGGTGCTTGATGAATGGAATAGATTGTGGAATTGGGTTAGAGTAAGCTCACGCAGCATCATGGTGCTATACATGGGTGAAGGTTACATCAATCAGCATCATTGGTCTAGTGGTAGAATTCATCGTTGCCATCGATGAGGCCCGTGTTCGATTCACGGATGATGCACTCGAATTTCTTCTTTTGTTTTTGGTCGCCACGGATACTTTTGGCCTTTCCATATACGCATACTTTGTTTTGGACGCCATTCAAAGTTAAGACGATGAGTAAGACGAAAAATCCCTCCGAGCTGGTCACCTCCTACAAAGATCCTGCTCTCACCGAGCCAAGGCAAGCTGCTTGATACTCGACAGTCATTCTATTGGAAGTGTATTTAACAAATCCAAGTACAAAAACAGATGGAGAGCAGAAGGTGTCCGTCCTCTTAGGTACACACACCAATTAAACACATCCCACTAACTTCCTAGACAGTACTTCGGCTGAGACCTATGAGTCTGGGGTGTCTCAAATACCTCACCTAGAATATCCACAGAGCCAAATGGGGCATGGTTTGACGGGCCACGCACATACATACTGCGCATGCTTCTTGCCAGTGCTCCTTCTTTCCACGTCTCCATCACATTATGCAATCTCTGACGTTAGTCTTTGGGAAGACTCTTCATCCCACGGTTAGGCTGGTTGCCTAGAGGAACCGGCCAGCCAGTCCTTTAGGAGGTCCGAACACCCAGTCCTGTGATATTTGTCCATACACAGCAGATATTAGCAAATCGCATATCACCCGGACTCTATAGGATACGACCAAGGCATACAAACAAACAACAAAAGAATAAATGCTTGACATAAGTTAAAGAAAGAGAGAGACGAAGGGCGGTTATGTACATGTGCAGTACTGGGGGGAGAGAGTCGCCACCACCACCAAAACCAAAAAGAGATGTCCCCGGGCGGGCTCGAACCGCCGATCGTCACGATACGATACATGAAATGTCTTCGTATTATAAGCGTGAAGCCTTAACCAACTTGGCCACGAGGACCTGCTAACTCGACCATCAGGTCTAAGCTGTTGGTGGGTACGGGTCATGCTTGAGTGATATAGAGCAGATGTCAGTGCCTCGTCGTCAACCCTTTTTACGTAATTGTCAACCCTGAACCATGGATTTTGATGGGGTGTTGTTTACCCCCGGAATCGCCATACACTCGCCTTTCTTGGTATTTTCTTTGGTGTTGTTTGTGAGATAAGAATTGTTACGATTTGGTGATCTGTGCGATACTTGGATGGCGGGCTGAGTTGGGCAGTAGCAGCTAACTTACACTACGCGATAGCGACTTCGATCTTTCCTCATGTTCGCATGACACAAATCGACCTGGGAGCAAGTTTTATTGCTTCTTATCTACGAGCGAGTGTGCGTTCTCATACTCGAAATGCGTGCATACACACCCAGGTAGGCATCGCCGATTCACTCCACTCATGGCATGTACTGCTTCTCATCCTAGAGCTAATCCTATGCGCTCAGTACCACCCCTCGCGGCCGTCAGTCAGACCTGATTTCCTGGTGACGAATAGCCCTGCTGTCACCTCTCCTTCAGAATGCCCAGAACTAACCCCGAGCTTATCTTTCTCGTTGATTCCATCGGTCAGGGATCAAGCACCCCCTCTCTTTTCTTCTTCACCTGATTTGATGGTTCGCTTACAAGCCGCACCCCATGGATCTTCACCACATCGCGCAAGCACGATGCCTCTCATACCATAGCCGCGTCTCGCTCCCTCCGTATGGGGTAGCTGTCTCTCCAAGTTATCAAGCCAGCCTGGGTGCATTCGTCGAATTCTCCATGTCAGAACGTGAAGGATAACATCCCAATATTCTACAGCACGTAACGCCGCATGCGCCGTGTGGATCGAAACGATCGTTGCGGCCCGCTTCCTGATCACGGCTGAGAGTGCCCGAGTCAGCCGCGCCGGGGTGGCTTGAGCTGGGCTGGGGGGAGGGGTCGTGGGGCAGGCCGTCGCAGGTCCGGGCGGTATCACAGTAAGCACTAGCGGAGAGCACTAATGGCAGATGAACACCCGCAAGGTCTATATGGATACTACCTTAATGTACAGTGCTACGTACGTTGCCTACCAATCGCTACTGCGTCTACTAAGCTGAAGGTGGGTACCACAGACCAAGGAACATGGGTACAAGTACAACTACGTTTCAGCGTGTGGTACTGTACATGGCCGCCAATAACAACTCACCAGAATGACACAATCTGATTCCGTCCCATCAAGAAGAAAAACCTCTCTCAGGGGTCCCGCCTATTAATCAATTCCCAACCGCCAACTCATGCACAATCGCCGCCACCTCCTCTGGCTTTGTGAACGTCGGACAATGACCCGTCTCCACCTGAAACGTCCTCACCGGACGCCCCGTCTCCCGCTCCAGCACCTCCACCAAATCCTTCTGATACTGCAGCGGCACGTTCATATCCAACGTCGCTTGGATGTACACCAGCCGTGGAACCTCGCGCCACGCACAGCGCTGCACCTTCTCATACCAGGCCCCGCCATTATGGGGCCGGAAGGCCGCGACATAGGCCTCGAGCTCCTCGTCAGTTCGCCCCGGGCCCACGATGAGACCCTTCGGATCCCGACTGACGGTCGTCTTGTCCTCTGCGAAGTCGAACGCGAGCGGCATGTATTCGCCGTGGCCGTGCGCCTCGACGACATCAACCATCGATGTGCCCTCGGTCACGGCGAAGGCGGCAATATAGACGAGCTGGCTCACGCCCCCGGAAAGGCCCTGGGCCTGGCGCTGGGTGGTCGAGAGGCCCGTGAGCGCGTTGGTGCCCACCTGCCCGCCGTAGGAGTGCATGAGCACGATGACCTCGCGGCCGGCCTCGACCAGGCTCTCGACGTAGCCGCGGATCAGGTCGGTGTCGTTCTCGAGGTGGGCGTTGGGCGGCCGCGCGCCGTTCATGGTCAGCAGGCGCGGGACGTGGACTTCGTGGCCGCGCTTGCGCAGGGCGGTCGTGAAGTCGGAGTAGTGGGAGGGCGAGTGCCATGCGCCGTGGACTAGGACGATTGCCTGGGGCTTGGTGGTGGGATTGACGGCCATGTTTGTGCTGGTGGGTGGGAGGGAGGGTGGGTAGGTATGTAGTCAAGTGGGAGATCGATAGATGATGGTTGATTGAGAAGGGGAAGGGAGGGGTCGAGCAGGTCGCTTCTTATTTATTTTGGAGTCTGGTGGGGCCTGGGGAGAGAATAGTGGTATATTCGTAGTTCAGCTCGGTGGAGAGAGGCGCCGTAAGCACTAAACCACAAGGCTGGTAGACTAGTTGTGTAGTGTAAGTTAACAACCATAACACTAGACCCAAGATTGGTGCCAGCTTAGCCGTTGACCCCGGCGCCCGCAGGGTTGATCTCTTAGCCCCAAGGAGGAACTCGAGATCGGCTGTCCCGACGACCATTTCATACCTTTGGTACCTCAAATGCGTGAGTCTCCCCTCCCACAACTGACTAATTCCTCCTAGTCTATCTCTTCATCTCCCAACCACCAACCCTTGATTCTGTGCCACGAGGCACCCAGGAATGCACTTCTAAGATAGATTGATATTTCTATCACCAGAACCTAAAGTTGCCAGCAACAGGTTCCTCCGACAGCTTCGCGAAGTTATTACATCTCCTCGCGAAGGTCGGTTGGGGCTTGTTACCCTGGATCGAGTGTTTCATCCTCACCCTCTTCATCGTCTGGCACGTAGTCCGGATCCGATAAGTGGCTCGAGGCTTCCGAACTCGAGCTTGATCTCCTCGAGGGAACTGGTGTACCAGGACGGTCTTTACACGACTTGTACCACTCAAAACGGACGCCCTCCGCGTCGTCTGGGTCGGACTGTTCGTCGTTCACTGAAGTAACCGAGTCAGGACGGTCTCCAAACGAGGTATCGGAGTCCGAATCAGACCAACTTCTCATCGAGATATTTGAATCAGACAATCTCCGCCCCTGCGCAGCACGAGCCGGCTGCTCCCCTACCGAGGTATCTGGGTCCGAACCGGTCCAACTTCTCATCGAGATATCTGAATTCCACGGTCCGCGCCCCTGTGCACCCCAATCCGACTGCTCCCCTACCGACGTATCCGAATCGGACTCTGAATCGGACCAGCCTCCCATCGACGTGTCAGAGTCCTCGCCATCGGAGACGCCGCCCATCATTATATCATCGTCTGACTCGGGATCCTCCAGCGGAGGCGCGTCCGTCATCTCTATATCCTCGGGCTCCGGGACTTTACTGCCGTCAAACCCCCAGCCCTGCAACAGCCTGGCCGAGTCGTCTTCGAAGTCGTAGGGGTCGAGGAGTGGGTGATACCAGTTGACATTCTTGTTCTTCTTGCCGTTCTTGCCGTTGCTGTTGTTGTTATTGTTATTATTGTTGTTATTCCAGTTGTTTCCATTGTTGTTGTTGTTGAAGAAGCCACCACCTCTCCCACCGCGGTTGTTGTTCGCCCCTCGACCGCCACGGTTATTGTTGTTGTTCTGGTTGTTGAAGCCGCCTCTTCCACTTTGGTTGTTGTTATAGTTGTTATTAAACCCTCCTCTGCCACTATTATTATTTCTGTTGGTGTTGTTGTTGTTGTTGAACCCACCTCTGCCACCCTGGTTGTTGAAACCGCCCCCTCTTCCACCGCCGCGGTTATTCTGGTAATTGAAACCACCTCTGCCGCCACCGCCGCCTCTATTCCCACCTCTCATCTGATCGGCCGTTGATAGATGCCACTTAACTCCCTAGTGGCGAGTATCGTCGTATCTTTTGTTCTGTGTAAGATCCGTTGTCGAAACTATTCCTCGGATTGAGGACATTGGTGTGAAGCAACCCTGCTGCTTTTGTCGTCTATAAAAAAAATCAAGTTGTAGCCAGACCAGCCGGGGGTGTGCGCGCAGGGGCGCCCATTTCGAGGGGTAAAGGTTTCTTATACCCTGCAAAGAGAGATTGAACCCCTATGGTTGTATGCTGCGGTTACTGGGGATCTCATGCTAAGCAACGAGTCTGCTTGTTGGGTTGTGTCTAAGTTCACTGTTGTATGTACAATGGTCTCCTTGTCATCATGGGGTTGAGACAAAGAGACTTGAAGGGTTTGTCAAAGGCGTGGGGGATAAAGGCCTCGGATAATGCCATTGTTGGTTGGTTTTTGGGGGATTTTGGGTGTGTCGCCTCCGTACAGAGCGGCAGTGTCCTTTCTGGTAGTTGTGGTGTGTGGTAGGTTTCCCTGTGTGGTGGATGTGGTGGTGTGCTTTGCAGGAGATTTCCTGTATGCGTTGTTCTTCGTGGGTTCGTTTGTGGTTTCCTGCGAGGGAGGTCTAAAGCTGGGAATATAGCGGTATCGCCACAGATGTCCCGTTACTGTAGTCGAGGGTTCTACAATAAGGCAGGGTAAGGCAGTCATTGTGCTCGGCCTACTGCTAGAATCATACTGGGGGGTAGGGGCATTGATAAATGTGTGCTATAGCAAGTCATTGTGTCGGTTGGAGGCAAGTGCTTGCGATATGAGGTTACTTTAGATTAATATATTCGTTGCCGTAACAGTCGCTCTCGCTCGTAGCCACGAACGGTGGGAACGTGTGCACCTGTCAGTATCGAAGAAATCGAGAAGAGGGCTATCATATCCTCTTCGTGCAGGAAGATTCTATCCAAGATTGAGGGGGCAGCGCCGTGGGGTTAAGGCACAAGCGTAAACAAAGGAACCACCAAGCCCTACCTTGGCACCGATGTATATTCCGCTACCCGCAGGCCATTCTCTACTTGCACGCTGGGAGAACCGCTGGATACTGCTCCGGAGAAAGCACCTGCTTTACATCACAGAGAGCACAATCCAGTAACCGGCATACTGTTATTGCATTTCCAGACACAATGCATACAATCAGAACGACATCCGCCACGAGGCTCTCAATCTCAAGAAGCTGAACAACCGGGATGCATGCTGCTTCTCGAGACAATGCTTGATAATGGTACACTTCCATGCCTTTTCAACAATTCAGCCCGGGTGGTCTAGTGGTATGATTCTCGCTTAGGGATTCCAAACCCAAGCATATCTGCGAGAGGTCCCGCGTTCGATCCGCGGCTCGGGCCGATTATCTTTTTGCTTTTGCTCGTTGGCTGTCTGCTGGAATTCCATATACAGATACAATCGCAGCTGCGTAAGGGTCTTTACGAGGCTGGCGTGCTGTGATACCCGGGGTGGTTTGCTCGTTCGTTCGCTAGTCCGTCCTTCCGGATCCCGGGCCCTGTAGTTTGCCTTTATGGATTTAGATCGGTGTCAAGACTACCTAATATAAGGCATGTCTACAGGTACAGTGCAATCATACAAGAGAATAGAACATGCAAGAAGAGAGATTACACCTTATCGTAAACACATGAGTTACAAGTCTTGCATATAAGTGTTTTGTTGTTGGTCATTTGGGTAATGTGCTCGACAGGCACAGAGAGCATTCCAATTGCGCCAATCAGTCCCAAAATGCCAGGAAACAGCTACCATAAACCCTAATTCTATCTATCAATCAGCCTTCATCTTAGATGATGCAATCCAGGGTCTACATGCAAATTCAAAACGTAGTGCTATGTGGTTGGAACCTCTGTGTATGTACTTTTATGCGTGGGAATATAGATGTACATGTACCAGGATTCGGCTAGATCCGAGCCAGCCCTACTACGATTCGGATCGGCGGTAGAGCACAGAACCCTCATGCACGATGACATACAAAACTATGCGCTCATGGAACCACTGACCCCAGCCCCTTTCAACCAACCGGGTCCCATAGCTCAGTTGGTTAGAGCGTAACGCTAATAACGTTAAAGTCGAGGGTTCGAGCCCCTCTGGGACCATCTTTTTGCCTTTATTCCTTCCCCGTCTCTTTTTTTGGTCAAGTCCTCTTTTTCTCTGTCCAGTACCATATCCAGTGTGGAGTGACAGGAGGCCGTAATAGAGTTCAGCGTGACAGCCTTCTGAATAATCGCCGCGGGCCCGGTGGCCGACTTATAGTTGTCTTGATGACATACTCCCCGGATAGCACTGCTAGGGCATTCAACCCTGCCTCTAACCCAGCTTCTAGGGCCAGAAGGAAAGGGCCTTTAGTGCAGACAAGCGGTATCCAAAGCTAATATATGCAATTCCGAGAAGAATTTGCCGTGTTTATTGAGAATAGTAGGCTATCACACGAAGCTTCAGATGAGCGATGCTATCTTTATGGTAATTTGATGTTTGATAGTACCTACGCCGTTCAATGTTCATATGAGATTAAGGTGGACCAGAAAAGAATTTCATCTTTGGACTACAATACCTAGCGAACAGAACAACCCGGGAAAATAGACCAAGGATATTTTACACATGTCAAAGCAAAAATTGTATTCATTTTACCGGATGGCCCCTATTTTATTGAGGAAGCAACTTAACTTGGAGGGGCTCAACCTTCAAGAGTTTACGTCCAGGTCCCCAGCCAAGGCGAGAGTGGCACAATTTGTAGGCAATGAAAGATTGGTTCCGTCACCTGAAGAGGTCGGGAGGACCCAAAGGGCTGTCGCTCAAACACGACTGCTAGTGATTGTTCAGGGTGCATAGACAACATCCGGGGTGGCTCTACGGTTGGCCTTCTAGTGCAAGCAAAGACGGGAAATCTCCTCTCATCTGGAGGTGTCGCGAGCCCCACCCTCTCGAAATGATAATAGCACCGAAAGGTTCTTAGAATCCTATCTCTTTCTTGCCAAGATCCTCAAGCTAGATCATTCAGATCAAATGACTACTTCCGCGAGTTCGGGCACGCTCATCTGGTACAGCAGCGCAACGATAACAAGGAGCGCCTCTGGCTGGGCGTCTCAGGCCGATTCTCACTTGCTACCATCTCAACCGACAAGGGAAGTCAGTCAATTGGACCCAACTTTGCAAGTTCTGGCCCCTTTTCTCGGTTGAGGTCATTTTATGGATAGAGCCGACATACAGATATGCTCGTCAGGATTCACCCACCGCTTCGATCAACGCCTCATACTCTGCATCATATCCACGTCCCCGGTACAAAAGTACGCTTGATACACAATTCCGGATTTCTTTCTTTGCTTTCTGAGATTAAGTCAATCACTTCGCAAACTCCATATTGCCGTTGGCCTTCCGCTCAGATATGAAGAGGCTACTGGTAAGAAGTATTGCTTTATGAAGACCACCAGAATTCTCGATCATCTCGTCGAATGTTTGTCGCTTCCAGCCACCGTCTCTCATCTTGTATGGAGTACAGCGTGGCATGTCAAGGTGGCCGTTGCTTTCCCCTGGCTTCTGCCCTCCCCAAGTCCATCAGCCATCCTCAGATTACCCCGCCAAGATTAAAGGACCACAGTCAGGCCTGGTCATGTCCCAGCGGGCCCGGGAGATATTCCCGGTGTTAACGCACGTGCTTCTAAGATATCTTCGAGCACCCAGAGCCATTAGGAAAATAATCGGTCGCGTCCGCATGCGATGAACACTCATACCGACGAAGGCGGCCATGGGTGGTCAACAGAGCCGACCAGCGAGGAGGGACTCTACCTGAGCAAACAAACCATGATACACGTTAGCTACTGGCTCCTCTCGTGACTGTCCCAACTTCATTCTAGAACGGCGGCAAGAAACAGGGGATGGAGACAAGAAAACCATGATTACTCGGATCAAGCTGGGCGATTTAGATATCCTCATGACTTGGATTACCTGTGCTCTCTTCGAGCTCAGTGGAACAGAGCATTGTCTCGGTGATGATGCAGCGTTGGGGAGAGCTGGACAAAGGAAAGAAAAGTTGCACTGGGAAAAGAGTAGTAGAACGCTCTGTGATTCCCGTGAAGACGCATCAAGTTTGGACCACTTTTCCGGACCAATTTGAGCATACACAGACTGTTATGGGGTGGTTTTCTGTCGATCAGTTTCTGTTTTGAGCGAATGGGTTGTTACCTAGATAGTCCGGTCTTTTTATGGTACTGTAGTCGGTGGCAGCGAAATTTTAGAGGTCAGCAGGAAACCAGAAGCCAGTGTAGAGCTTGAAGCTGGAGAGGAATCACCGCCCCCTCTCAAAAGCGGAGGCTGGATAGAGGTAGGATTGCAATCCGTGCGGTTGGGTTAGTGTGTATAGCTACATAAGAATGCACACGTCTTCAATCTCCATCATTTCTGCTAGATCGATATTTTGACTTGGATTTGTAATCTTAAGAACAAAGGTAGCGACCTTCAGATCCTCGAATCCCCGTATGTCGGTCGTCACCTTCCAGCATGTTAGGAGCAGCATCCATCGAGATGAGGGTACTCCGATGGCCACCAATGTCACTACAAGCCAGAATATGCTCGGACTTTTGCGCTGCACTACAGCCCCGAGTCCACCGCCTCCTGAGTTCGACGGGCTTTGGCCTTTGCTTTTCAGGCTTGTAATGACCATATCCTCCAGAGAGTCGTGTCGCGTTGACACTTGTTGTCGGTACATGCTTCAACGTGAAGTAGGATAGGACAAGAAGGTATCACATGAAGAAGATCGCATGGTCGCACGCACGGTTTTCTTCGTTGTACTGACTAAGATAGAATATTAGACAAAGTTTCCAAGTTCGATTATAGTATCACTTACCACGCAAGACATCCCTGCGCTAAGTTGTTGCACGCATTGGTCACACCAAGTAAGGATGGGGCAGGCAGACCAGATCAGCGCTCGACTATGGAGACGGGTTTCCTCGTCGACGGACGGTCTCTACGAGTTTGAGACGCGTGGCTGCGGATGCAAATGACCGAAGGGTAACCACTCCTGTGTACAAGCCAAGTGTTAGTTGAATCCGGATCCCAAAGAGTAAATAACGGGTTGATGCCTACCTTGCGTGTGTGGATTTCCAAAGTCATCAACATGCTGTGCAGATCCAGTTCAACGGCTGAGCTCGCCGAGGTTGGTCTTGCACCAGGAACAAAGATGCTGGTCCCTTGGTTCCGTTCTTTTCCCACCCACAGCTTCCCCCTCGGGTTCGCGTTACGCAGGATGGCGTTTCCGTCGATGAGTTGGATCGCCGGCATAGCAGGCTCATTGTGAGGATGCTGCTACTGTCGAGTTGGATAGCCGACCCAACGCAAAGAGCCCGCACGTCGATTCAGCGAGCCCCTGGGCCCTGCTACCGAGAGTTGGATAGCAGGTCCGGCAGGCTCATTGAGAGGGCCTTGCTACCGGTGAGCTGGATAGCCGGCCCGGCAGGCTCACTGAGAGGGTTGCTACTGATGAGTGAGATAGCTGACCCATGAAACACAGTGAACTTGCCGGACCAGCTATCCAACTCACCAGTAACAAGGCCCAAAGGCTCACTCCGTTGACAAGTCGGCTCATTGAGAGGGCGTAGTTACCGATGAGAGTTGGGTAACTAGCCTGTTAACTCAATGAGCTTGCCTGTCAACAGTGTGAGCCTTTGGCCTTGCTACCGAGAGTTGGATAGCCGGCCCCTCAATGAGCCTGCTTGTCAGCTCAGCGAACCGTGGAGCCCTGAGAAAAGAGAAGAACTATGAGAATGAGATCAAATGGAGTAGAGGGAGGCTAGGTACCTTAATTGGAGGAGAAGGGAAAAAAAGATGAAGAGGACTTGGAGAGGATGGTGAGAGGAAGCAGGAAGAAGGAAGAAGGAGGAGGAGGGAAAGATGGAGAGAGGATGGGGGTGGAGGAGGTATCTAAGCCGCTGGAAGGAGAGCGAAAGAGGGGGGAAGTAACACATTCACTGCCTGACCTCCAGGCAACGATCTGGGTGCCGGCCTTATTCACTAACTCACCTCCAGGCAACGATCTGGACCGCTGCTTCATTCACTAATCATCCGAAAGTTTCCAGCCGGTTTGATATCCACAAGCCCAGCACCTGAGTCACTGCCTGATTCGGGTTAGTCTGTAAGCGACGACCTGGAGGGTTTTGTAGCAGACTGCGAGTAGGAGCATAACCTTGTACCTATGGTCTATTCCTTCAATCTTGAACACCGCAGCACTCAGTAGTAATGATGACCAGGTTCCGCCAAAGCACACTGAACAAGAAATAGCATCTGCGGCGGGCCCTGGTATCGTGGACATGGTGGAACATCTAGAGGACACCCCGGCTCAAACCGATGACACAGTAAAGAACATTACAATTGCTCCCTCGACGACTGCTGGTGCTGATCTACACAAGGTCACCATGATATCCCCAAGCCCCGTCAGAATTGGTACCCTCAGGCACTGCTGGGTCCGCGAAGCGCGCTCTAGAAACGCGTCTCGGCAGCAGGAGTTGCACATAGGGCAGGCCCTTGTACCTCCAGCATAGTAAGAGCCCTTGTCTATTGGTTTCTACATTTAGGGTGTTAATATTTACCATAATGATAGTTAACGATGATGCCTTACAAGATACCGGATTTGAGCTGCTAGTGGCGTAAGATGTACGCAGGACTGTCTGTCCTCTAGCCACTATAACTCTTGTCACAGTCTTCGACTGTGTCTCACAACCTCAGCTGCGCAAGAGGAAGACCTAGTGCGTATCTGGAACAGGATGACACCAAGATCTCGACAGAGGCAGATTTGATCTGGGTCTTGCATGGGATCATTCAGCGCGATCCGAAGTATTGCTCTGAGCGAGATGCCCAGAATCAGGCATCGGAGTTATTTCCCTAGATTTTGGAGGTGCACAATACACAATCCACCGGCTGCCAGGAAGGCAACGATGGCATCGACGATGGGATACTGTAGTAGGTTCATATGCGCCATGCAAGACTTACAAATTAGATCTAGAAGATAAGATGGGGCTTGGTGCACTAAGTTCAGAAGACCTCCATTTTAAACCAGAGATTAGCCAATGAGTATTGGACCACGTTACTGCTACCATCTGCTTCCAGATTCATAATTGCCATCACGGTTATGAACAATTGAATAGAATCATCTCAAGCATGACGAGACAAGTACCTAGGTTTTGAGCCCGAAATTTAGTTCCTTGAATCACGTGGCAAGATGTAGCGTCTCTATAAGGTACGAGTAGTTCAGGATGGCCCCGATCCGTAGCTGACTTGAAATTGTCACATGTCCTGATTATATGCTCTTGTCTTCGAGGAGATGGAAAATCAGGCAAAGAAGACAGGAAATGTCGACATCGACCAGAACTTGTTGTAATGCCTAAGAATATCGCAGTGCTGAGGGCTTGCTAGCAGGTCCCCGGTTCCTTCTCCGGTTCCTTTTCAATGATTTTATTATGCCCGGAGGCTGCGAGGGTCTGGATTCCAGGCTAAGATGGATGGGGTAAGGTCTCACAAGATGATGCGCGGCGTTCGGCCGTTAGTGGAACTTGACATCCTGTCCGTGAGACATGCAAGAGACCTAACACAGTGGCAAGAATAGGCCCAGAGGTGTCGATTGATAACCAGAGGCTGTGGGAACCACCCGAGCCATCTAGGTAGACAAAGAAGTTGATCAAATTGGTAGGGCTCCCAGGGTCTTCAAGATCAAACAAATAATGACAACTAACGGGTGAGGCATTGACTTAAGTTACTAAAGGTGGAAGACCATCTGATGCTCTGTGGCACGGTAAGTTCGATCCACTATTAACCCACCCGCCTTTGTGGCAGTGCCTTTTTCCCAGTAATCCCGAAACACTACTCCGTAAAAGACCATAATTACCGATGGAGGAATTGTGGCCAGTTCCACGAATGGATTACTGAACAATACGCCATGCTGACGGTGTGTAATTTATCTCTGAGAGGTCCACGGGATTTTCTTACAGTAGCACCATCTCGGTGGCCACTTCAGTCCTGGGTACTCCTGGGAAACGAGTCCTCGAAGAGGCTAAAACAAGAACCGATGGGCCAACATGCAAGGCCCGAATATGCTTGGCAGGACTTCGATTTCTCTCTCCCTCTTTCCCTCGTGGACAACAGGGCAAGAAAACCTAGAAGAAGCAAAGAATCGAAGTCAAATAGGGAAACTGACCAGTCATGATCGTCATGGTTAAGACATGCAGGACTCCAGGCTCAGGACTGAGGGCTGTTGCTAAATTTGGTGGTGGCCTCCAAGTGGGATCCATTGATTGGAGAGTCGGAGACTGTCCCGGAACGTCGGTTACGCGGGGGGGGGGGGGGGGGGGGAAGAAATCCCACTGGTACTGGTGCTGTACTGGTACAGTACCGAGTAGGGTGAAAGGAGTGAGGCGATAATCAATATGATCAATATTGATTGGAATCATTGATTCATATTGTACATAGTCGACCACTCAGTCCTAGTCTCCCATGTCATCAAATGAAGGAAAGATGTGGTCAGTGGGTGTGTGTGTGCTGCTGCTGCTGCTGCTGCTGCTGCTGCTGCTGCTGCTGCTGCTGCACTGCAGCCTCTCCGAGTGATCCACGGCGATCCTTCGGCTGGTGTGGATTGTGGAATGATAGACAGGCAGGCAGGGGCAGGGGGGGGGGGTGACGCTCATTACTGGAAGAGTTGCGGGAGCTAAAAAAGAGCGGGTTGAAGTACAGTACGTACATGCAATTGATGACGCCAGCCCCCCCCGTACTTAATACTCCTCTGTAATTTCATTCTTATTGATTCCCATCTATTGTCTGTCCCCTAGGCAATAGTCTCTCTCCTCTTCATGTAGATAGAGATTCCCATATTCACTTAGCTGGACATGCCGAGTATCCTGAATCCTGATTCACTAGGCTACTCCATAGTGTTATGGGAAACAATTATTCAATATTGATCTCCCTTTCGTGTTGAAGAGTCTCCGCTTGACGGGGATGTCTCAGACAAAGACTGCTTGGCCAGTCAGCTGTTACACTTGAGGTCGAACACTAACTAAAACACTTTTTTACATTCACTGATTTACACCTACACTTACACTGACACTAAACACTGACACTGAACACTTATTGAACAAACCTCCAGACCCACTGGGCAAAGTATCATCTTCTGCTGCCCCCCTCTTGTACCGTACCTCCTCTCTCTCTCTTTCGCTCTCTTTCTGGTCTTCGTCTTTCGCTTTTCTTTTTCATCATCTATCCCTACCTTCTGGTCTTCATTCGCTTTGCAACCTCTTCATGCACCTTATCTCCCCTCTGCCTCTTTCACCACCACCACCACCATCACCATCACCTTCTCCTTTCCGCTCGCCCCATTCGCTTCGCCTCCGTTCCGCTCACAAACATCAAACTCAAACAACTCAAACAGACTACATCCCGCGCGATCCCTTCTTCTTCCCGGTCCGCTGACTCGCCGGACGGAATCTGGACGTCAAGTGGCCTCGTCACAGGCGCTTGTGCGCTGACTACACATCTCCTCGCTATTACTTGCCTCTCCGCTCTTTTTGCCCTCCAATATTCACTGCCGGTAACTTCATGGAACCAGACTTCCGCCGTTCCTAGTCTTGGCAGGCCCTGACAACACCTCGTCGCTCTCTTTCGCTGCGAAGGAGCTGGTCTCAATTGGCATTTCGCCTCCCCGATACTTCTTCTTTTCTCCTTTCCACCTTCGCTCCATCGCATCACCAGCGGGCTTCATCGTTTGCGCGAGCTGCTGCGTCTGCCGGGTCACAGCCACATGATACGGTGGGCCTGAAACTGGTCTCTCCCTCAACTTATT